GGCCGATATACCTGGCGCCACAACAAGGTGCTAAAGGAGTTAGCAGCCGTTGTCGACCAGGCTAGAATGAGGGCTAACGCCAGAGCCAGTTCTAGTATCGCCCCCATTCGTTTCCTCAAGGCTGGGCAGGTTCCAATCGGTAAGGTCAACAAAAACGCATTCGCTCCATCTGTACTAGACTCTGCGAGGGACTGGTTACTGGCGGTTGATCTGCCAGGACATGAACGGTATCCCGAGTTGATCCGTAAAACCGGCCTGCGACCGGACATCGTTCTCCATTCAGCGCAAAAACGGCAACTCATCCTGATTGAGTTGACGGTCCCGTTGAGTCGCGTATGGAGGAGAATCACTTGTACAAGCTCGAAAAGTACAGTGATTTAGCAGCCGGTTTGAGGAGAAACGAGGCTTACACAGTGCGGGTATTTGCCGTCGAAGTGGGAGCGAGAGGCCTCGTTTCCACTTCGCTCTACAATGTGGTGAAAGAATTAGGATTGCGCGGTAATGAACGGAAACGGGCACTCAAAAAACTTGGTGAGGTGGCCGAAAGGGCATCCAGCTGGCTTTGGACGCAGCGCAACAACGTAGGGGACGGGCCTCGGTGAGCTGGTCCGGGTGTCTAGTGGAAAAGAGTTTCTCATCCCTTCGAAAGTCCATCGTGTACGAATTGTCTGCCAGTGTTCCTCTGCCAACTGCTAATAAAAGTCCAACATGTGTCGTGTCCGGTAAACCAAAGTAAGCTTGTCGCTCGGTCGTCCAGGCATGCGGACTGTTCTAATTACGCAGCCGTGGCGGCTTCTTATCTCACAGTACCTCCTTCGAAACCACCAAGTCGTCTTGTCTCTGGCCGAAAGTATAACACCATCCGGTAATTCTGTGCGGCGGGGAAGCAGCCCTGAGCTTCATGAACTCAGGTGGGCCCACCTCCGAATACGTTTAGGAATCGTGGGCCGAAACGTGTGTCGAAAGAGGATAATTTCTACTGATGACTGTAGATCCCCGCTGTACTTGCTCCCTGTGAGTTTATTCTTATCATCTCTCACACATTTTAATATTCACAAAAACAAGTAACTGTAAAAAACGATATATGTAAACAGTAAGAATCATCGCGTGACCGTATCTTTGTGTTCGCCTGCATAGTTTTTCATGGATAAATACTGGAAACATAAATTTACATATTAGGAAAGCAGAGAAAACAAGACATAGTGTTATCAACTAACTGTTGACCCTACTGTGGATTCTATAAGTCACTGGGAAATACAAGCGATAGAAAAGCGACACTATTTTCTGCAATGTATGTTTTATAAAATACATTTGGTGTGTATAGATTTTGTATCCAGCATCGCGCCATTTTCTCCTGACACATGCAGCAGACGATGTGTGATAGCAGGTACGTAGTGACATCATCATGTAGCAGGTCCTTTGCAGAAATTCACTCTCATCACGATCTGCCTTAAAGAAACTCGGTCTCTCGCCAGCTCTCGCTCTTAGTGTTCTTTCATTTTCAAAAAGTCACTTATATTCTGTGCCCATTTTAGAGTTGGTCGGCCTCTGTCCCTCCTTCCTAGTACTTTCATCATACCTTCTGCTATTATTTTTTTCCCAATCCGCCTTGGCGCTTGATATGAATGAAATATTTCAGCGAGACAAGATGCTGTTTATTAGGCAATTTTCTTTCGTGTTCAGATCTGTTAAAATGTTCTTCTCTTCATTGTCAATGGTATTCTGAGAAAATGTCTATAGCACTTCAACTCAAAAAGCTCCGGTTTTCTTTCTGAAGCATCGGGAGATAGTCCACGATTCACATCCGTTTGTTGCATACTCTCAACTTTTAATTTTGTTTTCTTGCTGGTGCTTAACCATGGACTGGTGCTGTTTAAACGTAATGACAACATAAACGAGATTAGATACATCTGGCTATACAATTGTTTAAAGAGGGCAGTGAATGTATAAGTCCTTAGCCAGACCTGAGGGAGTAACCGAGAGGTGAGGGGGTGGGGAGGGGGGAAACCTGAAACTGGCACAACTATAACTCATTACATTGTAACTAAATATGAAAAGTTTGCGGTTGACGATTAAGAGATTGTTTCCGTTATAATGCCTAGCCTGGTACAACATGTGGACCAGATCTGCTGCCAACATTTGTCATCACAGATTAATATATCAGATGCCAGAGCTGTGATACAATTCCTGATATTGCAGGATAAAACTCCTGATATTTTAGGAGACTGAAACAGTATTTTATAAATCCTGGTACCTGATACCCATTTAAGGTCAGGACGACTTGGGAGCCCAATGAGTAAAGGACAATTTTCCACTTCTTTAGGCGTATAGGGCATAAAGGGTTAGACCTTTATTTTATAGATCAACGGCACAAGATGGGTGATGTGGTCAGCATCACGCCGGCCGCCTCTACTTCCCAGGACTGCACCAGGTACCCACTCAAGGCTGGTTCGACCTGGGAGATAAAGCAATTTTTGAAAGAAAGTCCGGCTCCGGAGCTAACATGCGACCTTCCGATCCGCGGCGCGCGTCTAGCCGCTCCGCCACGGCGACTCCCTGGGAGCCAAGTCATTTATGAAATAAGTCCGGCTCCACCAGAATCCGTGGCGTCCTTAGCTTAGGCGTCACGAGTTCGACTCCTAATTCCAACATGCCGCGATCGAAACCCACTGCTGGCTGCATTGATTTTTATCATGCTATGGATCGTGGCAGGTCGATCCAGCCTAAAATTGGTACAAGGATGGCTGTTCCGGAAAAGTGAAGACGGCCAGTGTAATACTGACCACATTACCTAGCAAGAGCTGATAGTATGTAAAAATATGGGCCCTTTTCCCATATACCTGATACACATAAAAACGTGAAAATTTATCTTTACTTTTTGTTTTGTTTGTTACTTACCGCTAGAACCCACGACATTATGCAATCGTCTAGCCGCTACGCCACCGCGGCCCCGCTACAATGTGGTAAGAAGCCCGGCAACCGGAACCACAAGTATGAAGATTCTTCAATGACCGCTAAGAAATAAGACGGGGAATATATGGGCTTGTCCTGAACGATGTGATGTCGAATCTTTGCCCACGGTGTGTTGATGAGACTCAATGGGTTGAACCAAGGTTCGTCAAACAAACATGCAAACCAGGTCCAGACAATCATGGCTTTACTGTTCAAAGTAGACTTGTCTGAAATTTGTGTAAAAATACAAATGAATATTTTTTTTTTCTTTCAGAAGGAGCCATGCGAGCACCGGAGATATGGAGTGTTTAATTTCCAAAGACGGAAATTTCGGTACGTGTTAAGCAGTTTATTCTATCGAAATAAATCGGCGTAGACAACCCGGGAAATAAAAGCCACATTCAGCTGTGTATCATGGCGAAAGAATTCAATGTTAATGATGATTAACGGATACTTCAGAAGTTGACCCGGCCGAAAAAGTTGAATGTTAACAAAAATGAGGGAACACATTAACGTTTTATAGGGGCGAAATAATTTATTGTTAACAAAACTGCAGTCTTATCTTTTCCAGATTATGTAAATCCATTCATAATTGTATTAACATGAAAGCATGTGAATAGGAAAACTAAAAGCGTGCTGTCAGCATAATAGTCTAATCAATTCTGTGCTATCAGTGTCAAACATGATCACGGTGTTTAGCAGACAGAAAGAAAATAATCACAACAGAAATGAAATATTTACGTACTATGCTAGGTGTAACAAGGAAAGATCGACTTAGGGATGATGATATAGGCAGGAGAGTCGACAGAGAACCAACACTGAATTTTATCCGTAGACAACAGGTTCAATGGTTTGACCATTCAAACTGATTGGCAACAGACAGTGCCCCACAGAGAGCAGTGTTTTACACACACAACAGTGACATCCCCAGAGGTCGACCACGCAGAATATGGATGACGCAAGTATCGGAAACGCTGGAAAATACTACATACCTTTCTATGTGTCGGCTTCTGGGCCTTAGACGTTGCGAACTCTTCGCAATGTCTGGCTGCTGGGTTCAATGCCACCTTCTGATGATTTGGTAGCAGAACGCCTTGCGCTGATTTCGACAAAAGCCAAACAATTCTGGATTTGGTTCTGCAACCTCCTGCAAAAGTTATGCAACTAACTTTTTAATCTCCCTATATATTAGATATCTCTTCCTGACATGACGCTGCGAGACATTCAATGAGTAAAGAAAAGAAGCCGTTTTACATTACTGGGTCGCCCAAAAGTACTGACTTGCAGGATCAGCGCTCATCGAGGCTTTAGACTTTTGCCCTCCTCCCTTCCTCCAAAAATTTTTGCCCTTAGCCCCCCCCCCCCCTTTTTTTTGCTCCACTCGATTCATTGCTTAGACTGTAAAGGGGCCCCCGCAAATCATGTGTATTAATATATATATATATATATATATATATATATATATATATATATATATGTGTGTGTGTGTGTGTGTGTGTGTGCGTGTTCTGCTTTAAATATTTATGTATACATGTCATATCGATCGATCGATCTTGTGTTCTCTCTGGGCTACTACCTAGAAAATTTACTATACCATCCTCAGATTTAAAAAAAAATATCAACCAGAAGGACAGATCAACAAGGCAGATCCCAGTTGAGCTTGCAGTGTCCTGTTCGTAGACTGAAAATTGTTGTATGTTGCTTCTTTGTTAAATTGTTTAATAATAAAAACATAAGTAATAGTAATTACACATTAAACAAGGCCTAAATTAGTTTATCCACCACTCGAAAACTTTTACGGCTGAACCCCTTTTGCCCTTCCCTTTCCCTATATTCCCCCCCCCCCCTCCCCCTAAAGAAACTGTTATTTTCTTTGTGTCAGCGTCGCTGCCGACTGATATTCCCTGTCAGCTATTGGTAATTGTTTTTATAAGCTTTTACTGAGTTCAGTTGGTTTGTTAGTTGCTTTGTCTGGAACAATTTTTGCACGCAGTTTATTTTTTCTCTCTAACAGGCACACAGAATCAAGCCAGCTACGTCATCGAAAGTGTAGAAAATGGAGGATCAGCGAGCAGGACTGAGCGCGGCAATAATCCCACGGGGAGTACAAGCAGTGAGAAGAAAGAGAAACTGAACCTATCCCGCTTGTCAAAGAGAAGTCTGCTGACCGCCTTCCTCATTTGTCTGGCTAATTTCTGCGGCGGCTGCATCTACTCCATACCATCTCCATTCTTCCCCGCTGTGGTAGTTGTTTTTTGTTTGTTTTTGCTGTACTTGTTATAACTGGTAGGGTAATCAAATAATTGCTGTTCCAACTTTATAGCACACCAATCTACCCATAGTTCCAATCTTTTTAAAAGATCAAATAGTTCTCTGTGTTTAGGATTAACTGGATGTCAAATTTCTCAACACATATTCCAGTAACATATTGCTCAGCTTAGTTCAACATTATTTCTCTCCAGATAATAATTGTCTATTGACTATACAATTATTAAACAGCATATTCATATCAACACTGTCTGCTACCAGTGTTAAACATGGACATTATGAAAGGCCAACACACGTGCATTGAGGGCTAAAAAGGCAGAAGAAGAGAAGCAGAAGAACACACGTGCAATTAACAAGTGCGAAACTAAATGCCTAAGAAAATCCGCCAGCTTAAATAACCTAGACAATGTCAGAAATGACATCAGACAGGCTATAGAAAAAGCATTATGCCGCAAATTCATTGATGAACAGAAGATCAAATAGTTTGGTCATCTACTAAATGTAGCCAAAAACAACTACCACAGCATTCGCTACATATAAAAAGATCTGAAGGAAAAGCAAGAGGCCGCTGTGGGATAAAATGTATTGATGATATTAAAGAGCTTTTTTATCGACACGGAATGACTATAACCATTGCTGCCTATCAACTGTTTCTTCCCACAACGCTTAACAGCAGCAATGGAAATTGATTTTGCTGAAATGATGATGATGCTAACTATAAAATACAATGACCTTATGGAGATTCCGTATGGGTTTTTATTATTCATTCTGGGGTTTAAAAAAACATGAATATACCCACTGTCGACACAGACCTCTGGTCTACCTTGATTGTGCGTGGCTCGTTGTACAGGCCTGTGACAGAAAATATGTCTTATAACACACTAAACCGAACATACACAGAGCACCACAACAATATCTTTTGTAAAGCACAGACTAACACGAGATAGCTGACGTCAAGAAAAGTGGGCACCCTTATTTGAAACGCAAGCTGTGACGGCTTTACAATTCAACATGCACCCCTTCTCGTCCCATTGTTAATTCTCAGGTCCAAACCCACACTTTTCTTGATGAGCTCTTTTCCTATGCAAGTGGGCTCAACCAGTGACTCAGAGAGTGGGGGCAGTGTGCAGGGATATATAATATCACAACCACCAGTCCAAATCATTTTGGCTTTCAGAATACCCCAGCTCTACTTAGGTGACACATTATACAGAATACTATCACTGTCAAACAATTTACAACATAGAGGGATTACACTACCCTAACGAAACACCTTATCATAAATCTATCGGTCACTAGAATATCACTACAACACGCTATAATTCTAAACTATCACTCTATGAGATGTTTTCTTCTTCAATCAGAAGTCGCACTCCCCTTGTCCCATCGGTTCTCCCAGTACGAACACAAACCGTTGCTATCGCCTTAACTGTGGGTCACATATCAGTCATGCCAGTAAAATCAATACACCGTCCCATAACTGCACAAGACTCTGACAACTGTCCTTCAACAAGCACGTCGTATTGGCAACCAAATAATAGTTTGTAAAAATTGGATATGTTGAGCCGTAAAGCGCAGAATGTAGCTGTGAACCACTACCTTGTGAACCAAACACAATATAAAAGAAGAAGAAGAAGAAGAAGAAGAAGAAGAAGAAGAAGAAGAAGAAGAAGAAGAAGAAGAAGAAGAAGAAGAAGAAGAAGAAGAAGAAGAAGAAGAAGAAGAAGAAGAAGAAGAAGAAGAAAAAGAAGAAGAAGAAGAAGAAAAAAAGAAGAAGAAGAAGAAGAAGATGAAGAAGAAGAAGAAGAAGAAGAAGAAGAAAAAGAAGAAGAAGAAGAAGAAGAAGAAGAAGAAGAAGAAGAAGAAGAATAAGAAGAAGAAGAAGAGGGGGTGGAGAAAGAGTAGAAAGAGAAGAATAAGACGACGAAGAAGAAGTTAGACCACCCATTCGTAGGTTAGGATTTATAAGAAATTAGAAGAAAGACTGGGACCGAAACCAGCCATACAGTTTATTAAAGAACAAGAAATGAAATGGTTTGGCCACCTTACGAAATTGCCTTGGTACCAACTGCCACAGAGAGCCACGGCAAAGAAATATAATAAACACAGTGCAAGGAGAAGACCACGCAAGAGATTGAGCGACACTGTTAAGAGCAACCTTACAGAAATGTACACCACCTTGTAGAATGGATTAAAAAATGCTCACGCATGAACCTGACATTCCCCCACCCCCCACCCCACAAGTCGCTGAGGTAAATGGCGGAAAAGAAGAGAAAGAAGAAGAAGAAGAAGAAGAAGAAGAAGAAGAAGAAGAAGAAGAAGAAGATGATTACGATGATGATGAAGAAGAAAAAGAATCTTAGAAAACCTTTAACATAAGTTTGAATCTGGAATATATGATAATGGAAATAAATTGTTGTTTAATTAAAACAAAAAATAATGATACAGAAAATCTCTGCAAATTTACAGAAATCATATTATACACTGGTCATAAAGACTATATTACAAGAAAATTGCATTTATAAAAATAAAAAATAAAAACAGGCATTGTTGTGAGGCCTTAAGTTACAGCTTAGTTAGCTTTTGCATAATTCAAGCCCCGCTCATTTTTTATTGTTGCCTTATCCATCGCTATAAGGGCCCATTATCTCGCACAGGCTGCCCGGAAGGGAATGTCTGAAAGCCTCACTGGTTTCCTCTTTAGCAGTAGTGAGCTCATTAGCTTTGCGTGTTCTATTCTTTTCGGCAAATACGTAAGTATTGTTTTTTTTATTTATATATTTAAAAAAAAATTTTTTTTTTGAACTAGGAAAAACTATGTTGGTATGTTTGATTTTTATTTTTTTTTTTTATTTTGATTTACAAAACTCTAACTAAGCGAATTAAACAGCATTTGAAAGAGTGCAGAAATGAGAAAGAGAACAGAGCGTGTTGGAGATCTGTTGCAACCAACCTTCATCGTGGGGATGGCACCTGATTGATTGAACTGAAACAAGACATACATTAATGTTTGAGCGTCAAGTAGACCACATATTTGTTTTCACGTCTGTACAAGTTGTGTATTTCTCGGAAAGACCTCAACTAAGTGATTCTGTCTATTTTTGATTGTAATAGTAATGTTTTAAATTATGGCATGTACTGATTAATGCTTTCTAGCCGCAACGCTGACTTGTCTTTGGTGACTGCGAGAATGTGAAGCTGACTAGTTCTGCTTATCGACTGCTGGGATAGCTTTCAGCGAACACTTGCGTACTGATAGTAACAGACGGGGATGGACCAATTGCACACCTGTCCTCTTCCTTACCCCAGAAAAAATCTAGGATGATCGATCATTGCCACTCTTGTTAATCTTTTATTACACATTTCACATTTTGTTTTGGGTGTTTTGAGGCACATTATCATTATTACGACCAATGGGCTGCAGCTTGAACACCCTTTAATAGCCTAACCACTTGGCCAGCAGATTGAACACTGGGTCAGCAGATGACCACTCGACCAGCGGCTGACCACTCGGTCAACAGACTGACCACTCGGCCAGCGGCTGACCACCAAATCCTATAGCCAATAGTGCTAACCACTGCACTAAAAGAATGACTCTGAAGGGATTGGGAACCGTCATAGGTTAGTTGCTAAAAAACTGCTTCGGACCCGAAGGTTTCAGGTTCAAATCCGCATGGAACCCAAGTTTCTTTTAAAAAAATAGACACAACAACGCAGACACAACATACACAGAGACACAGCATTCACAGAGACACAACATTCACAGAGATACAACATTCACAGAGACACAACATTCACAGAGACACAACATTCACAGAGACACAGCATTCACAGAGACACAACATTCACAGAGACACAACATTCACAGAGACACAACATTCACAGAGACACAACATTCACAGAGACACAACATTCACAGAGACACAGCATTCACAGAGACACAACATTCACAGAGACACAACATTCACAGAGACACAACATTCACAGAGACACAACATTCACAGAGACACAACATTCACAGAGACACAACATACACAGAGACACAACATTCACAGAGACACAACATTCACAGAGACACAGCATTCACAGAGACACAACATTCACAGAGACACAACATTCACAGAGACACAACATTCACAGAGACACAACATTCACAGAGACACAGCATTCACAGAGACACAACATTCACAGAGACACAGCATTCACGGAGACACAACATTCACAGAGACACAACATTCACAGAGACACAACATTCACAGAGACACAACATTCACAGAGACACAACATTCACAGAGACACAACATACACAGAGACACAACATTCACAGAGACACAACATTCACAGAGACACAACATTCACAGAGACACAACATTCACAGAGACACAACATTCACAGAGACACAACATTCACAGAGACACAACATTCACAGAGACACAACATTCACAGAGACACAACAACGCAGACACAACATTCACAGAGACACAACATTCACAGAGACACAACATTCACAGAGACACAACATTCACAGAGACACAACATTCACAGAGACACAACATTCACAGAGACACAACATTCACAGAGACACAGCATTCACAGAGACACAGTATTCACAGAGACACAACATTCACAGAGACACAACATTCACAGAGACACAACATTCACAGAGACACAACATTCACAGAGACACAACATTCACAGAGACACAACATTCACAGAGACACAACATTCACAGAGACACAACATTCACAGAGACACAACATTCACAGAGACACAACATTCACAGAGACACAACATTCACAGAGACACAACATTCACAGAGACACAACATTCACAGAGACACAGCATTCACAGAGACACAACATTCACAGAGACACAACATTCACAGAGACACAGCATTCACAGAGACACAACATTCACAGAGACACAACATTCACAGAGACACAACATTCACAGAGACACAACATTCACAGAGACACAGCATACGTACAAACATAACTCACGTACACACACACACACGCACATATATACACACACATATACACAAACACACTACACATAGACACAGACTCAACACAAGTTTGCAGACACAACACCCATCGCACACAAGTGCACACACAGGCAGCATACACTCACATACACACACATACTCTCTCTCTCTCTCTCTCTCTCTCTCTCTCTCTTTAAAAAACACAGATACAACACATAGTCTCAATACACACACGGACATAACAATGCCTCACAGACACGACAATCACAATGACTCAATACATACAGTCACAATACACACAAGAAGAAGAAGAGAAGAAGAAGAAGAAGAAGAGAAGAAGAAGAAGAAGAAGAAGAAGAAGAAGAAGAAGAAGAAGAAGAAGAAGAAGAAGAAGAAGAAGAAGAAGAAGAAGAAGAAGAAGAAGAAGAAGAAGAAGAAGAAGAAGAAGAAAAAGAAGAAGAAAAAGAAGAAGAAGAAGAAAAAAAGCAAACAGACTGTTGTCTTTTGTCAAAAATGCCACCCATTCCACTCTGTGTCTACACATTGTTTGTTATAAATGCTAACTTCCTTATTGTTGCCTGTTTAAACCAGTTAATGCATATAGGCCCCAAGTTTCTGTACGTCTCTAGTATATATCTCTCAGGAGTGAGTTCAATTCTTTTTGGGTGAGTTTTAGTTTAGCAACTGTCTATCTGTTTTTAAGCAATAAGATCTTTCATTGTGCTGCACCAGATTTTTGCGAGCTGTTAACCGTTATATATAAAATCAGAATCTCGCCAAAGACTACTTTCCATCAACATTTAAAGTTGCCAAAGCATTTCTTCATCCTAAATCTAGATCACTGTACAGTGGTGTCTCAAGTGATTATAGATCCAACTCGTTATTATCAATACTGTCTAAACAGCTAGAAAAGCACATTCACAAAATAACACTTCAACATTTAGACCACAACAAACTCATTGTTGAAACCATTCGGAGCTAAGAGCAAAATATTCTTGCTTTAAAACACATGGTAGAAAACTGATATCAGAATATTCATTATAAATTTTCATTTCTGCCGTTGTGTTGTGGGGAGGAACAGTATGCGATCTATTACTTGGTGTGCAGCATTTGATATTTTCATTCAGTGTTGATGTAGAAGCTTTGTAATGTCATCAGTCCACATTCATCCATAGCTTTTGATATGATAGACCATAATATTCTTATTTTAAAAAATTGCAAATTATGAAATTAAATCCTAGGCTATTAATGTTAATATAATCCTATTCGTTAAATAGAAGACTTATGAAGAAACTTACTGTAACAAGCTGGGTAGCAGATGCCAGTACTGTACGACAAGTATACACTGGATACGTACGACCAAAACTGGAGTATGGCATGGGAGCATACTCCACTGCAGCCAAAACAAACCTACACAAACTGGATAAACTACAGAACACTGGTCTCAGAATAATCACTGGAGGTATGAGAAGCACACCAATTAATGAGCTGGAGGCAACCTGTGGCCTCCAGAGCTTGAGCCTTCAAAGGAAAGAAAAGGTGCTTACCCTAACAGAAAAATTTTAACGCATGAACAACAACCCCATGCACAGAATAGCAAATAACCAAAAACCGACTGAAAAGACAAAGCTTTCACCATCTATCAAAATTATACTACACAAAAAACAGTGACATCCTTTCTAAAGATCCTTCAACATGGGAAGTGATCCAGGCATACAGCATAGACATACAGGCTAACTATACAGTCACAACAACAATTCCATGCATAGACAGAAAGGCTGAAGAATGTGACTTAGTACTGAGTGCAAAGACCCTTGAACATGTCTACAACTGTTATCTAAAACCCGAATGGACACACGTAAACACCGATGGGTCATTGGAGGGAGCAGACAAAAATGGAGGAGCTGGATCGGTCATCATGCTGCAAGATGGGACCACAGTAGAAACGTCATGCGCCTCCGGAAGACTCTCAACAAAACTGCGCAAAAACGGCAGCTCTTCCTGATCGAGCTGACTGTCCCATATGAGTCGCGTATGGAGGAGAATCACATGTATAAGCTCGAGAAATACAGTGATTTAGCAGCCGGTCTGAGGAGAAACGAGGCGTACACGGTACGGGTATTTGCCGTCGAAGTGGGAGCGAGAGGCCTCGTTTCCACTTCGCTCTACAATGTGGTGAAAGAACTAGGATTGCGCGGTAATGAACGGAAACGAACACTAAAAAAACTGGGAGAGGTAGCCAAAAGGGCCTCTAGCTGGCTTTGGACGCAACGCAACAACGTAGGGTACGGGCCTCGGTGAGCTGGTCCGGGTGTCTAGTGGAAAAGGGTTTCTCACCCCTTGAATGTCCATAGTGTCCAAATTGTCTGCCAGTGATCCTCTGCCACCTGCTAATAAAAGTCAAACATGTGTCCGGTAAACCAATCGTAAGCTTGTCGCTCGGTAGTCCAGGCACGCTGACTGCTTTAATTAGGCTGCCGCGGCGACTTCTTATCTCACAGTACCTTCTGCGAAACCACCAAGTCGTATTGTCTCTGGCCAAAAGAAAAACACCATCCGGTAATCTCGTGCAGCAGGGAACCAGCCCTGAGCTTCATGAACTCAGGTGGGCCCACCTCCGAATGCGTCTAGGAGAATCGTGGGCCGAAACGCTTGTCGAACGAGGATAATTTCTACTGATGACTGTAGATCCCCGCTGTACTTGCTCCCTGTGAGTTTATTCTTATTGTTGGTTTTCGGAACTGGAGGTAATGATTAACAGGGACAAACGGGGGCATTCGTATTGCGGCGTTAGAGGTGAAATTCTTGGATCGCCGCAAGACGAGCTACTGCGAAAGCATTTGTCAAGAATGTTTTCATTAATCAAGAACGCAGGATGTAAAACTCTGTCGGGCTAACGGCTCGTCAAAGAAATCTAACGTGCGAGGAAAAAGAATATACCTATCCGTGTGGTCACAAAAGTCTAAAACCCGTTCGAGCGGGAGGCCTGATACGGTTGCGAGGTTAAGCAGGCATGTGCAGGACGTGACGATTCCTTGGGTGAGCCCAGAACCAGAGCGCCATGTGCCGGCTCTGCATACATGGAAGCCTCCTTGGATGGCGGGGAATGCCCATGATCTGCCCCTGCCTTCCCTTGAGGGCTAACTGTTCCACAGGGGGCTGCCCCAAAGGGGTACTCCGGTGGCAATACCTGAGGAGAAGGAGATAAAGTGGACACCACACAAATCAGTCAACGTCTCGACCCACACAAAACAATGGCCACAGTCAACCTAGAAATAGGCCTGACGTCTTCCTTTGAAGTCGGAGTACAGCTGCCCATGAGGCAGGGAAATGAAAAACGGATGTACACGCAAAAATCAGGTCCAAGTGAATACAACGCTTTTATTACCGTCTAAATGTTTTATTTATTTTTTTTTGACATAAATTTAAATGTTTGTATTTTTTAAAATTTGTGTTCAAGAAAAGACATGTTAAAATGTTAGTTTTTGGTGTACAACGCTTTTATTGCTGTCTTAATTTTTTTTTTTTTTTTTTTGACATAAATTTAAATATGTTTGTATTTTTTTTTTAAATGTGTTTAGGAAAATACATGTAAAAATGTTAGTTTCTTGTACCCTGGAACAAATTAAATTTTGTTTTCTATTATTCTTACTGAAAAAAAAATTGGCGGATTATGTTGGAATTTTGAGGTACCGGCGTCGTCTCTGCAACTAGAATTAAATAACGTAGTCAAGTGGAACTGCGCAAACCGCATCCATATTAACATTATTAAAACAAAATTTGTTTTGCTAACAAGACATATTATAATACTCTTTAAATGCACTGAGGGACCTTTTAACTTGACATCGGTAGTACCCCAGGGGAAAGTGTAACTGAGCACAAAACAGCAGGCCTAATCATTGATACAAATCTAACTTTTAAATCTTATTTGAGCTTATGAAACAGAAGTTTACCAGCTTGGAAAAATTACGCGCTTTCTTGATCAGAGACCTAGAAAGACGTTCTGTGTTCATGTTTACATATTCTTTATTTATTCTTTTTAATTATGGAAAAAGATATTCTATACTTGCCACATTCAAACTCACCTAGACTAATGCTACACCATATAGATTCAAAGTTCCAATTTAGTCATCAAACGTCTTAAAGCACTTGAAAGAAGAGCTGTACGTTTAATAGGTAACATTTATTAAAGAGACCGTTCCAACCTACATACGAGTCTTCTGCTACTTCTACTTTCTGAAAGTTGAAACAAGCACAAAATCGTAACCAAAAACGCTCAGTTTACCTTTAGAGAGGTTTCTATTTAATTCTTCTTTCTTCACGTTCACCAGCTGTAAACTCTGGCGGAAGGTTCTGGTTGCTCGTCCACTACTGAACTGCAGTCCTGCTTCAGAACCTGAGTGTTGCGTGTGCATCAGTTTTACAGATCTCATTCTCTTGAATACAGACTGTTGGTTCCTTGCCTCTCCGGCAGATGCACTCCGACTTCAAAGGAAGCTTCCCAATTAGTCGACTCTTACGACATGCTTTTTGGGAGGCAGTGGGTCTATTCTTGTTTTCCCCTCAATGGGGCCCCGGAACCCACACGGGGGTTCTATTTAATGAAAGACAGCAAATTTCTAAACCTACTACATATCTCAATATCTAGCAGAGACTAAGCGTACTCCACAACCAACGTCCACAGACAATCAAAAATATCAGTAATTGTTATACATGTATGAGGAACTATTTGAATATTATTTAAGCACAGATTATATGTACCTTTACACAAATAATAGTTGTAACAATTTTGCCCCCCCCCCCCCCAACCCACCACTACCAATAAAAAAAACTCATATACTCATACCACTTACTTAAAAGAGAGAGAGAGAGAGAGAGAGAGAGAGAGAGAGAGAGAGAGAGAGAGAGAGAGAGACAAACAGACAGACAGACAGGCAAACACACACGCACACACACATACACACACACGGCGATAATAACATTTGATTTGGATCTGTGTCTGGGTCTCTTTATTTCAGGCTGTCAGAGAACAGTTCACCAGGAGCCATTTTCATTTCATTAACTTTTATCTGCCGCTCTATCGACGCCGCCACCTTTCCCGCCGTCTTCAACTCCGGTTTTGTCATCATGTCTAGCGAGTTCCCGTCGCACGTGTCCACAATCTTTGTGAGTATTTTCTCTAGGTGTTTTAGTCACTTGTTTAGCTGCAGTGTTTTTGTGTGGCCACACCTGCTTTCCATCGCAAGCTGTCACTCTGCATAATGGTGGGCTTTGGGCAGGTGCAGTCTTCTTCTTCTTCTTCTTCTTTTTCTTCTTCTTCTTCTTCTTCTTCTTCTTCTTCTTCTTCTTCTTCTTCTTCTTCTTCTTCTTCTTCTTCTTCTTCTTCTTCTTCTTCCTCTTCTTCTTCTTCTTCTTCTTCTTCTTCTTCTTCTTCTTCTTCTTCTTCTTCTTCTTCTTCTTCTTCTTCTTCTTCTTCTTCTTCTTCTTCTTCTTCTTCTTCTTCTTCTTCTTTCTTCTTCTTCTTCTTCTTCTTCTTCTTTCTTCTTCTTCTTCTTCTTCTTCTTCTTCTTCTTCTTCTTCTTCTTCTTCTTCTTCTTCTTCTTCTTCTTTCTTCTTCTTCTTCTTCTTCTTCTTCTTCTTCTTCTTCTTCTTCTTCTTCTTCTTCTTCTTCTTCTTCTTCTTCTTCTTCTTCTTCTTCTTCTTCTTCTTCTTCTTCTTCTTCTTCTTCTTCTTCTTCTTCTTCTACTACTTTTTCTTTCTCTTCTTCTTTTTCTTCTTCTTCTTCTTCTTCTTCTTCTTCTTCTTCTTCTTCTTCTTCTTCTTCTTCTTCTTCTTCTTCTTCTTCTTCTTCTTCTTCTTCTTCTTCTTCTTCTTCTTCTTCTTCTTCTTCTTCTTCTTCTTCTTCTTCTTCTTCTTCTTCTTCTTCTTCTTCTTCTTCTTCTTTTCTTTACTCCAGGAAAGCCTCGCGGCTTCTGTTCGCTTCATATAACGTACTTTTCAGTGTCTTTGATATTGCTCCTGCGTTGTTGACCTTTGGATGTATTACTATGATATCTGTATCACCTTGCTCTCTGTGGTGCCCTGTCTGATGCTAATTTTATTACATGGCCAAACTATTTGATTCGTTTTCTACCTATAAAGTGCACTACTGGTTCTGTGCCGACCCTCCTCCTAATATCATCGTTCCAGTCAGTCTTACTGGTTACACCTACCGTGATACGTAAACATTTTATTTCTGTCTTTGACTATTTTCCAGCTGTCTTCTGAAGACAGTGTCCATGTTTGACATTGATAGCATAGCGTTGGTAAGAATATTGGTTTGAACAGCGTTCTTCTAATGTTCAGATTCATATGCTTCCATTAGAAAAAAAAAAAAAAGTGAAATTTGGCTGGAAACATGGCTGGCTTTATTGATTTTTGTTGTTGTTGGATTTCTTTATTATACGGAGTAGTGACCTAACGATATTATGGTTTGTGGAAGTGTCAGCAAAAGTGCGGCTTCTTGGCTAAAATGTTAGTGAAGGCGGTTAACAATTTGATGATCTTCGGTGGAGGGTTTAGAATAAATATCGTTAATGGTGTTTGGACAATGGTAAGAGAGTGGCACCGTGAAAGAGAGTGTAGACTTACCACGTAATATCCCAATCTACGACAGTGGTACACTATAGTTAACCTCCACTGTGGAGACGACAAAGGAAAAGGCAAACTTAAATCACACTCTTCCACGCCTTTAGGTATGTTGGTTGTAAAGTGCTGGACTAATAGTGAGGCAAATAGATATGACCACAAACGATTGTAAAGACAACAACAACAACAACAAATAGACAACTTGACAGAGCGACAATATGACAAACAGAATTACTTCCCTGTTGACACCTAGATATCTGCGTCGCTTAGAAAAACGTTGGCGGGAGATATCTGCAAAAGTCAGAGGAATGGTTTTATTATTGACTGTTATGTTGCTGTAGCGCTATTGTAAGTTCTGTTCTTTTGCGTGTGAAACTGTATGTTGTTCTGTTTTTGTTTTTTTAGTAAGTACTATTGCCTGTTCTATTTTGGTGTCTTTAATGCTACCATTTGTTCTGTGTCTACAGTACTCTAGTCTGTACTATTTATTTATTATGCACTGCAGTTGCACACGACACAGTCGATCTTCACTCGTCTTTGGGACGAGGCAAGAAGTAAAAGTGAAAAAACTGAAAACCGTACCTCGAGAGAATGGTGCAGCGGGGAATGTCTGCTAGCTCTGGTTTTTGCTCAGAGACTCTGATAAGGCAACACGAGTAGTTAACCAGACGATAACGGTACCATCGTTTGAAGACTGTTTGGTGGCTGTGTAGTGAAGGAGTGAACAGGAAGGATAAATAAGTAAAACTGAGAAATTAACACAGGGAAATTCTGACACTGAAATGAGGTAGTAAGGGTTGAGAAACAATAAAGAATGTATACACTAAGATCAGCATCAACACCAATCCATCATGAATGGTATGATAGCCGTTAGAACGCTGGTCAGAGAACGCCACACAAGATCAGACAAGAAGAGAACATGTATCTTTCTTTTAGATGAAGCGGATCCAATGAAGCAGAGATGAGAATAAACAGGTTGACGGGTGTCGGAGTTGACAGATCGACCACACTTAGGAGAGGAGGAGGAAAACGCAATACAGGTGACAGAGAGGGTGGTGTTGGGCTTTTAGGCCAGAAACTTGAAGCAGACAAGTCGAAAGATCTGTAGCTTGTGAACATAGCAGTTAATTGTAGGGCAGCGAGTTAAACTTGGTTAAGCGAAAGATATTTCTACAGTGCGTTAGACGAGACTTTATAAACAATAGATAACAGTGAATAACCTGTTAGTTGTGAAGCAGATGTCACAGCAACATATATTACAGTGTTTGTCCTCATTATGTACATGAACTTATCGTGGTATATGAATTGACAGGAACGATAACCTGAAATGTTCGCCGTCATTGTGTAATGGAAATCAGTGTCGTATTTGAATTGACATTGTATTGCACATTAAACAAACCTTACTGCGTTGGGTGTGTTGCATCACTGACCGTCATGTTAAACACAAAAGACATACTAACTATGTATACAATGTTCCGATAGGTACACCTGACTAAGGTTGGGTGGGTGTGGAAAACTAAACAGTGTCACAAGTCTAAGAAGATATTTGTTGTGATGAGGGAGACGAGTCAATATGGGCGTGTCCTGAATGTTGTTCAGTCGCGTCTTTACCAGTATAAACCCAGATGTTGACTTTTACCCAACAGACACCTTTAAACACCGTAAGAACATTTTAAGCATGCTTCTGATAACTGATGCTTTTGATGTTGTCTCTCAACGTTACAGGGAATCACGGAGACAAGCATGTCATTGGGTCTCATGGCTGGGCCCAGTGTTGGAGGTGTCTTGAATCAGGTACACGCGTAGTGTGTTTTAAATAGCTTTGTTGAGAAAATTTCTTCTTTTTCTCCTTTTCTCTACTCCTGGAAAGCCTCGCGCCTTTAGGACAAGAACACAGGGTGAGAATATCCTTCGTTCCTTTCCATATGCAGTGCACTATGAACAAGCTCTGATTTGGATGATGCTTTCTTAAATAGTGGGGTTTCTTTGACTTGAGTGTGGGTGTGCTCTGTGTGAGGTTGGTGTTCAAAGTCAATCCTAATTCAACAGATGCCAATGGAGGGTCAGCATTTGGAGACAGCAATTACAGTTACACACAAATTAGAACTTCTGAATTGCAACAAAGGTAAATTGAACAATCTTCAAGCAAGTTCATACTTTTAAATGCTTGGGTACCCTAATAACACCAGATAGAAGATTTATTAAAGAAGTTCTTTGGTCATATGATAAAAAGGAGGAAACTGGAGTACATCGTGACAGAGGGAAAGTTGGAGAGGAAGAGAAAGAATAAGAAGAAACTCCACAGGGGAGCATGTACAGCAGGAGTCTACCAATCATCAGTAGAAGTAATCTCTCGTCCACAAATCTTTCGGCCCACGAGCTCCTAGACATTTTCAGAGAGTGGGCCTACTTGAGTTCATGATGCTCAGGATTGGTTTCTCCTGCTGCACGTATTACCGGATGTTATCGGACAGGGACAAGACAAATTGGTGACTTTGCAAAAGGTACTGTGAGATAAGAAATCGTTGATTTAGTATAATTAAATCAGTCTGCATACCTGGACGACAAAGTGGCAAACTTACGTTTGGTTTACCGGACACATGTTGGACTTTGTTGGCAGGTGGCAGAGGGACACTGGCAGACAATTCGGATACGATGGACTTTAAAGGATAAGACATTCTTTTCCACTAGAAACCCGCACCGGCTCTCCGAGGCTTCCCCCCCCCCCCCCCACGACGTTCCGTTGTGTCCAGAGCCAATTCGAGGCCCTCTCAGCAAATTCGCCAGTTGTTTAAGTGTTCGTTTGCGTTTATTTCCCCATAAGCCCAGTTGTTTAATCACATTGTAAAGTGAAGTGGAAACGAGAACTCTTGCGCCTACCTCGACATCGAAGATACTGTGTACGCTTCATCTCTTCTCAGACCAGCCGCTAAGTCACAGTACATCTCGAGCTTGTACAAATGGCTTTCGTCCATTCGCGACTCACACGGCACGGTCAGCTCAATCAGGATGAGCTACCGTTTCTCCGCCGCGTGGAGAACTATATCTGGTCGCAGGCCAGTCTTCCGGATTAACTCAGGGTACTTTTAAGGGCCAGGCAGGTGAACCGTCAGTAACCAATTCCTCGCAGAGTCTAGCATCGATGGAGCGTATGCGACTGTTGAATTTACCTTTATAAATCTTCCCAGCCTTAAGGAAGCGTACGGGGACGACGGTAGGACTGGCCCTCGCATTGGCCCTCATCCTAGCTTGGTCCACAACGGCTGCTAACTCTTTCAGCACCTTGTTGTGGCGCCAAGTATACCTGCCTTGACCTAGGGCTTTCCTGCACGTGGACAGAACGTGCTCGAGCGTCTGTTTAGCTTTGCATAGCGGGCATGTCGGGTCGTTAGTCAAACTCCACTTGACCATGTTTACACCGGACGGTAATACATCGTAGGCAGATCGAACGATATAGCTCAGTCGCAACGGGGCCATTCGCCAGATCTCACCTCATGTGAGTACTCTTGGCAATGCGCTCTCTAAGCCGATCCAATGGCCTTGCTGCGACTGTTGGGCTGCTTTCTGAACCCTAACCTCGTTTTCGTTGTCCCTGATCTGCTGTATCACCATGTCTTGGCGCTCTTTAGCTGTTGCTTTAGACTACCAACTGACTTTCCCGTGTCCTAGGCCACAACGGTTGGTTTGAGTGTAACCCATAATCTCCCTTAATTTTAGTGCATTTTGGGCAGATTCGATCGCATCTTGGACCTTCCACTTGACGCCAGTCTATAGAGCGGGCTGGACAGTGGTGACATTTGGGTCTGAAAACTCGCAAGAGCATGGCGAGTCTTACTGTGCCGACTTTAAACTCTTCGGTTATTGATTTTAACAGGAGTACCAGCTTCGACTGCTTACAATACAGAGCCACATTAGTCAGACGCGGCGGTGCACCAATCCACTTCCTCCTGGATGTGTTGATTTTTCGCTCCATCGTCTCCACTGCAGTCATCGTCACTTCGTAGACGAGCAGCGGCCAGAGGAGCTTTGGAATCAACATAAATTGGAGACACCAGGCCTTGAACTTTCCGATCAGCCTGCTGCGCTCGATCGCGAGCAGGCCTGTAGCCAGTGACTCGTGTATTCGCCCGATCTCCGCTCTATCAGATAACTTCGAATCGTAAACGCGACCTAGGCTCTTCACCGGTTCCTCTAGAACCTTGGGGATCCGATTCCTTGCCACCGTAAAATTGATTGCCGCTACCTTACCTTTTAGGATTGACCGACTCCTCGACTTCTGCATACCGCTCAATTGGACCACCTCATCCAATCTTTTCAGGATCGTGCGAGCAGATTCCTCACTGCTCGTGATTATAGTCGTGTCATCCATAAATGCACGTAGTGGAGACATCCAGTGGTCGCCAATCTGAAGGCCTTGCCCGTAGCCGGCCGCCCCGTCTGACATGACCTGCATGGCCATAACGAACAGTATTGGCGAGTTCGTACACCCCAAAGCTATCCCAACTTGGAGTTCAGTCCACCTCGTAGTAGACGTCGATGTAGAGAAACGCACAGCGAACTTAGAGAAATATTGCTCGATCATTTGGTTGATCTGTGTCGGTACGTGGAACATGCGAAGGGCCTGCCACAATAGCTTATGGGGAACTGCCCCGTAAGCGTTGGCGAGGTCCAACCATATCACGTGCAACAGATTTCTCTCATGCTTGGCCCTCTGGATAGACTCCCAAATCATGGTCGCGTGTTCAAGGCACCCAGGGACGCAAAGGATTCTACCTTTCTGAACACTCGTATCGATGTATTCGTTCACTATCAGATACTGTGTGAGCCGATGAGCCATAACCGAGAAGAATATTTTGCCCTCACCGTTCAACAGCGAAATAGGCCAGAATTGGGAAAGACTCTTCGAGTCTTGCTCTTTGGGAATGTACACCCCGTTGGCTTCTTGCCACTCCGGACATATGTGTTTTCGGCTCCACGCTAACCTCAGTAAGCGGTGGAGCATTCGTTGGACTTTCGGACAGCATTTGTACAGGACGTACGGAACACTATTCGGACCTGGGGCGGACTTGCTCTTTTCACAACTTCCTGGAACTCAGACCAAGAGGGAGGTATCGCTTTGAATGATACCTTCGGCAACTCAGGCTGCTTGAGGCCGCTGAGGATCTCTGGGTTGTTATCGAGAGGCTCATTCCTATTCTTGTCAGAGTACATTTTGCGTAAATTTGACTCGAGCGCTTCCTTACTGACCACCAGAGTCCCAGACTTCGGTTGCTCGAATAGACCTCGGGCGAACTGGAACGGGTTCCTAAAGAATTTATCTCGCTCCCTTTTGGTTCTTCTTCTGTTATTACAGAAACGCTCAGCGCGACAGAGGGCACTGTGTCTGTTTCCCAGGTGCAACAAGTCCTCATGCAGCCTGTAGCGGCTTTGAACCGTTTTCTGAGTGCGTTCTTGTCTGTCCCTCTGTCTCCTGCTTGTAGTTTGCTTGACGCCCGGCGGCGCCTTTTCGACTGTCCCGAACTCGCGGGAACAGTGCTCGTATATCACATTACCAAACATTGTAAGCTTATCGCTCGCAGGTAGAAAACTGATCTTTAACTCACTTCTTCAGGGATCATCAAGCGTGTGCCTCCGCAGTCGACGTCATGGGCCTTTCCGGGCGAGAGGGGTATACCCAGCCCGTCGTTCCCTAACGACTCAGAAACTACCACAGGAGTAGTAGTTTTGCGATCTGATGTTGATCTCATAATGGATCCTAGATATCTTCTCTACTACCGTATAAGGGCCTCCCCAAGCTAACTCTAATTTAGACTTCCCTGTGGGTAAAAGCAATAGAATTCTATCACCAACCTCAAGACATCGTTCCTTCGTCTTCCGGTTGAAGTGTGCAGCGTACTTCTTACGTGCACGAATCAAATTCTCCTTAGCCAGGTCTCCCTCTAGCTTTAACCTTTCCTTGAGTTCCTGTACATACTGTGATATGGTTTTCAAGAAATCATCTGCCCCTTCGTATGTCCATGTCTTCCTGAGAATGGTCAAGGGTCCGGAAATATGTCTCCCAAACACCAAGGTCGAGAGCGGAAATCCAGTAGAGGCATTAGGTACTTCCCGGAAGGCGAATAGTGCTGCAGACGGATACTAGTCCCACCTCTGGGTTAATCTTCTCAGGAGCGATACCAAAGTTCCATTGAATCGCTCATTCTGGCCAATCGCTTGGGGTCGGTATGGACTGGTGCAAATGTGTTGAGTTTGGATTATCTGAAAAATTTCCTCCATCAATTTCCCTCGAAACTGAGACACATTGTCCGACAGTATCTGGAAATCCCACTCTTGTAAAGATGCTCATCAATGCCTCTGCCACAGCCTTACTGTCGATCTTCCGAAGAGCAATCGCTTCCGGCCAAGCTGAACAACAGTCTACCAAGGTCAAGATGTAAGCATTCTTCTTCTTTGTGAGAGGAAGTGGTCCGACCAGATCGACCGCCACCCTCTTGAAAGGGGTGGAGGTTATAGGAGTTTCTCCCAATCCGACTGGTGCATTCCTGCCTGTAGGTGCCACCTTCTGACACTCAGGACAGGATTTGACATAACGCATGATATCTGCTGTCATACCTGGACAAAAGTAATGACAAGAAATGCGTTTTGTCGTAGCATGAATTCCCATGTGGGCACTGTAGGCTATAGTGTGTACCATCTGGAGAATCTGCTGTCGATATGTTTCAGGTACAACTGGCTGACTTTGTTCTGTATACTTGTCACCTGCCAACCTATAAAGGAGTTTAACTTTAATGAAGAATTCTTTCTTCTGAGGAGAATCGTGACTTGCAGGTAACTTTTTAAAACATGCCTTAAGAGTCAGGTCACTACTTTGGGCCACATTGATGGAATCCTCAGGTAGAGGATTTACATGAGGAGAATCTTCTGAGGCACCCTTATGCTGTGCTCGGGTGGTCACCGCAGCAAGATGATCTGAGGCTTTTTTCTGCTCTGCTAAAAATACATTAGTAGCGCCTAAAATTAAATCAAAGGTACAGTGTTCAAGCACCGTTGGTTAAATTATCCCCGAGACATATTTAGATTTGACTTTAATCTTAGCAATTGGCAAGTTTAAAGGTTTAACATCCAATGTAGCACATTGGAGCTCTATGAATCTGCCTGTATACTGGTCAGGTTTTACAAACTCTGGCCTCACCACAGCCCCATAGGTAAGTCCGCTATCGTACAAACAACTTAAAAAAATATCCGTTCGTCCAGACCCTCTCTACCATAGGTGGCCTATTGGAACCATTGTACAACTTTTCTTGGGTAGAAGGTACTACAATAGACAACAAAGCTGATACTTGCAAACCCCCTGCCTGTTTAGATTTACACTCCCTAGTCAAGTGGTTATTGTTCTTACAAAACATGCAGTATGGCTTTTTAGGCCCATTAAAGGGTTGCCTTTGTTGTGTTCCCTGAAATTTTGAGGGGTTCTGGAGTTGTGCTTGGGATGAATTCTTTTTAGGGGATTTATTTGGATGGGTTTTATGAAATTACCACAATTCTTCTCTTGGCCCTGGGCCTTGGGTTTCTCTGTACACACATCTTTAGGTGCCAGTTCATATCTCTCAGTATACGTCAAAATCTCACTCAGTCTGGCAGCACCATTCTCCGTCAAGAACGTTTGCATAGGGCGAGGTAATGTCTCTCGGAGTTGTTCCGTTAGGACCATCTCCTGTAAATCTTCAAAAGAAGAAGAGTATCCAGAAATTTCCCTCCACCATGTCAAGGGCGACTGGCGAACTGGGGATAGTTCTCCCCTGTCAGCTTTCTATCATTTCGGAACTGCTGTGTATGTCGCAGCATTTAGTTCGAAAAGCTTCAGTAAAGCCTGACACAGCGCATCATAATCAGTTTCTGTACCGGTGGGCATCCGCTGATAAATCTCGTATGCCTCACCACGCAAACCTTGAGCCACCTTCAACGTGTACATATTCCTCTCCAAATTGTACAAAGACGTCAATTTGCCAAATCGGTCTAGGTACTGTTCAATATTTTCAGCCTTCGGGTCGAAGACTGGCATAGGGAAGTTCATCGCTTGAGCTGAGCTACTGTGCGTTTATTACCTTCTCTCTGTGCCTGAAGTTCTATTTCCCTTAATCTCACTTCCTGTTCCAACCTCATTCTTTCCGCCTCTCTCTCAGACTCAAGTCGGAGTCTCTCAGTTTCCATAATCCTCTCAAATTCAATCCGGAGTCGTTCGGTTTCCTTCTCTGTCTCAATTCTAAGTCTCTCTGCCTTACGGGCTTCCATCCTCATCTCACATTCTGTGGTTTTAATCCACTCGGTCATTCCCCTATCCTCCAATACCATCTGAACAGCCATGTCCTTCAATTTATGTATGGAAATTTTTGACTGCGACATGCTGTCTTGTCAATCTAACAGTCCACAAATAAAATATTTTGTCACCAACAATTTAATTGTAATCAAAAATTGATTAACTTGTTACCACCCACCAAGGTTTTACCTAACCTAATGTTTTATAATTAAATTATAAGGAGTAGTAAGGGTTACACACTCTCTTCAGTTTCCCAATACTTCTTACACAATGTACTGGAAACACCACGAAACACCACAAACTTGATCACAAATCACTCACAAGAGAACATTATAAGAATTGACCCAGAATGGTCACAACTGTGTTAACAACAAAATACAATCACTGAACAACCTCCTGGCCAAGATTACCAGCAACTTAAAAGATACAAACAATCCCACGACGAGACCACAGATTTTAAGCGGGATGTATGTTCTGTCACAAACCGCTCGTGTCGCGTGCCTGATTTAAGGATTGCTCCTTAAGAACCAACAGCAAAAAAAAAAAAAAAATGTTGAGGCGTCGGCTAGTATTGGTCTAAGGGATATCCCGTGGCCAATATACGCTCAACTTTTTTCAGGAGTAGGGCAACAACAACTTATCACTGACATCAGAAGGAGACAGTCACCATTTTTCGACCATGTTATGAGAAGAGGGAAAATAGAACATATTGTGACCACTGGAAAGATCTGTGGAAGGAGGGATAGAGGAAGACAACGAGAGAAGATGCTTGACAGTCTTGTTGCATGGCATGGAGGTGTGTCGGCACACGAACTGATACATGCTGCAGGAGATCGCGGATTATGGAGAGGTATGATCGCCCACGCCAGTCGGCAAGGCACCTGATGATGATGATGAGGGCAACTCAAGTTCTGACACTACAGAATATCTAATAATCCTAGGCGCAACTTGGCTGGACACCCCCACTACAATCAAAAGATAGCTCCCAGGCTATGATAATATACTATCACAGCCATGTTAACACAGATTACACTTACTAATCACACAAACATAAAAGTTAGCCAGTTAGAATAGTGAAACAGGGACACCCAAGTCAGCCATGAAAATTTATGAATGGATGTAATAATTGCAACACATATATATATATATATCAAGACCATCAAAGATGGTTCCCGGTGACTGGAGTTGGGGAACTAACGTTTACGAGATGATGTTGAAACAGCCAAAGATGTTCTAGAGAGTTTCAGTGTTCATCATGGTTATTTTGGGTAGACCTGTAAATAGAGCATGTGGTATGTCATCTCAGATGCTACTTATCAGTTTGGTAGGTCACTGCTCTCCTCAGTCCATGGTGATCTGAACAGGCTGACTCAATAGACTGCCTTTCTTCTGGTTGATCTGGTAAACACTGACACTCTTCATATATGGGAATAAAGCAATTGTGCTGGAACCCAACACAGCTCCTGAAGAAGGATTCCTTGGAGTGATGACACGGGTGGTCTGCAACAACTGTCTCTCAGCCACTGGAACTCACGCAAGCTCCTGTCAAGTTGAAGTTATAATAATTTTTGGTGGATGGTAGTTGGCTGGACTGTGAATCGTTTGCCTGACTTCCAGTGAGTATCATCCTGTCAGGAAAGAACTCAGAATTAGTATTCATCTTAAGAGTCACACACCAAGCTCAATTTACTTCCCTCTACCCTTCTCAGTCACTCAGAGGATAACTTTCAGGAACAGGAGCCAATGCCCCCTTCATTTATCTTTGTCTGTAAGTCAGTACAAGAGATAGTAGACCAGGTCCATAGTGGAGATAGATAGACACTACTACGCATAGATCATCCTCTCTCCACCTTCCCATCTACACCCACAGACATACATTCTATCTCGTTCTTACATGCATAATTTATAACCCCACAATCTGCCCACTGCACACCCTGTGTTGTTGTGTTAAAAATAACCTCTGACGTCAAAGCGCCTGGCTGGCTGAAATGTGACCCAGTTAAATATGTCCGCTAATCGACACAAACTCTGTTCGCTGGTTAAAGAATAATTAACTTGCTGGGTTTAGTATCTTTATAATGGTGTGGGTCAGGTAGGGAAAAACTATTAGCCTGCGGAAGGAAAGGTTTGATTTTAGGGGCTTGAGTGTCTGGACACCAAGAACGGCCTAGTTCTTTGCTGTCACCCAGCTGAATCTTTCCTCCCTGCAGCAGCGGCAAACTTTATAGAGACATATATCATGGTACTCGCAAACTATAATCAAATGACCCAAGCTTAGGAATCCTTCAAAGATTAAACTGGTATTCTGAATGCGCCAAGATTTAATCAGAGAGGTGAACGAACTAACAAACGAACGAACAAAATTTATTTTCAAAGGGTTACAAATTGGGCACGCAGGCCCGTCTGACATTCGGCCCTTCTAAGTACTCATTTTTCAGAGTACCAATACCTATTATCAATAATGCATGTTATGGGTTTAATACAGAAATATAAATTATAATATAATGCATACACACATCATGTGTACACAATCGTACACACTCACACACACGTTCTCACACATGCGAACTCATATACAGACATACATGATACATACACAGATGCATCTACATACATATACAAGCATACACATACATAGACATAAATGCACAAACAGAAAACACACACACTTACATTTATAGATATACATGCACACACACATTCCATACATACACATCTATACATGCACCCATGCGTACACACATTTACAATCACATGTACAGACACCAACATTTGCCCAAAACCACACATTTACACTTATATGAATACATACACCCACATACATGTATACATATATTCACACATACATACATTTATACATAAACTCACATCTTTACAAACACACATACATACCTAAATATGCTTTCATATATCCACATGCATACACACACAATCACACACACATGCATACTTGCATGCTTTTATAATACTTCTAGACGCCTAGGAAGTCTGGCAAAGAAGGACCCCGCCTGATCTCGCTTGGCGTCTCTAGAAAAAAAAAAGTCCTGTATTAGTACACCGAGGAGTAAAAAGGTTTCCTGGAATTCGGAATATTATTAAAGAAAAAATCCCTCCCACAGCTGCAAGTTTGAAAATGTAGACTTTTCACAACAACTAGAGGGTATAAAAATATCTATTCCACCAGACAGAGGTATATATCAATATGAGGAACTATATACACACCGGACGGGTTTAAATCTGAAATGTGACCTGCCCGCTAGGGGCTTCAACGTCACGACGAGTCTACTGTGTAGGGTTTGGTTGATTCACTGCGTGACAGTTGGGAGGAGGAGACACAAGACTGATTAGTAAGAAGTCTAATATAGGAAAAATGCAAAAAATGATAACCATATATGAAATATGAAAACACGAGAATTAGACAATAAGGAATGTCATTTTTTTCCCTTTAGATAGGAGGTCCCAGCATGCCTTTCTATGTGATCGGGGGACTTATGCTGCTGGTTGGACTGACCGTTTTCATGTTCCTTCCCCCTCCACAAGGTAATTAGTACATGAGCATCAATGTTTTGTTTCTTGACCGGAAGGTTTTCGTTTCAAGGAAGTGTTTACTACTGACGGACCATCTGTCGCGTGGTGCATACATTCAGTGGCCAGCCATGATTATAACGGTTTAATCGCCCCTTCCACTTTCCATTGTGAAAAACAAATCGTTTTTAAAAAACTGTTTGGTATTATTGTTTATTATTTATTACAAAAAATCAATTTGGTTCACGTTTGCTCAAACACTGAAAATTTGTTAGCCGTATAATCAGAACAAATAGAACGTTCTCTACCTGCTAATACCACTTACGCCACTTATGCAGAAACTGTAATGTGTGAGAGCTACCAGTTACCCATGCTACAGCATCTACAATCTGTATTTGATTGTTTACCTGGTCATGAAATACGACCTATTCTTCTGTACAACTACATTTCCAGATAGTTCGATTTCCTAGTTGCCTGTTCATTGTCAAGTGTTTGCACGACAAAGGAGGACTAAGTATACATAATTTTGGACATTTTTTATGTGTTATTTATTTCTCCAGATGACAATCATTTTTGCATCTGCTGGAACATATGTTTTAGCCATTTATCGACGCCTTGTTTAGACACTTTTGGAAGATAGGTTTTAGCCATTCATCGACGCCTTGTTTAGACACTTCTGGAAGATAGGTTTTAGCCATTCATCAACGCCTTGTTTAGACACTTCTTCAAGATAGGTTTTAGCCATTCAACGACGCCTTGTTTAGACACTTCTGGAAGATAGATTTTAGCCATTCAACGACGCCTTGTTTAGACACTTCTGGAAGATAGGTTTTAGCCATTCATCGATGCCTTGTTTAGACACTTCTGGCAGATAGGTTTTAGCCATTCAACGACGCCTTGTTTAGACACTTCTGGAAGATAGGTTTTAGCCATTCATCGATGCCTTGTTTAGACACTTCTGGAAGATAGGTTTTAGCCATTCAACGACGCCTTGTTTAAACACTTCTGGAAGATAGGTTTTAGCCATTCATCGATGCCTTGTTTAGACACTTCTGGCAGATAGTTTTTAGCCATTCATCGACGCCTTGTTTAGACACACGCCTGTGGATCCGATGGTGTCGTGAGTTCACTTATTAACAGGTGGATTCTTTTTAAAAAAAGCCTAACATGGGTAACAGGCACAGTCATGGAAAGTAAAGGCAGCCGTCGTAATGTTTACCACATCACCCATAGCTGATCTATAAAATACACGTCTAGCCCTATATGCCTAGTACGCCTTGAGTGGAAACGGGTTCTGTTTACAGGAATTTTTGCAATAGCTTTAAAACAACTGTCTCCTGCCATGAATATCTGGAGGAAACAAACACAACTCTTTGGTTACATCATGAGAGGAAATTAACAGGGGTATGTTGTAACACTTGGTTAATTTTTCATCGATACATTCAAAGAAAATGTCTAAAAAAAATTTTGTGATCAAAAAGAGAAAAAACATTACTGACATTCAACTAATTCTGAACATTAAAGAGACTTGACTGATAAACAGCATCATGGAAAATCTTTAGTACAAGACAGCCTAACATATGACACCACAACATCTAGCATGAGAATGGAGGTGGAGGCGGTAACTGAAGCTCTCCGGTGGCTAGAGAACAAGATGCATACACATGTCGTAATTGTAACAGACATTGAAAGCATGCTGAAAAAGGTGAGGACAGGGATGCTTTGAGCAGAGTGGCTAGCTTCACTGGAAAGGTAGCGGGTGGTGGGCGTGCTTTGGATCTTTTCTCCAGGCGATGCTGATATTTAAAGTATGGCTCCTATTTAAAGTAGGAGTGCTATTGAAAGTGTGGCTGCTATTGAAAGTTGGGCTGCTATTGAAAGTATGGCTGCTGTTGAAAGTATGGCTTGTGTTGAAAGTATGGCTGCTTTTGGAAGTATGGCTGCTATTGAAAGTTGGACTGCTATTACAAGTATGGCTGCTGTTGAAAGTATGGCTGCTGTTGAAAGTATGAATATTATTGAAAGTATGGCTGCTGTTGAAAAAATGGCTTATGTTGAAATTTTGGTTCCTGTTTAAAGTATTGCTACTGTTGAAAGTATGGCTATTATTAAAATTATGGCTCCTACTGAAAGTATGGCTACTGTTGAAAGTATGGCTGCTGTTAAAAAGATGGCTGCTGTTAAAAGTATGGCTCCTGTTGAAAGTATGGCTGCTGTTGAAAGTATGGCTCCTGTTCAAAGTATGGCCCCTGTTCAAAGTATGGCTGCTGTTGAAAGTATGGCTCCTGTTGAAAGTATGGCTTCTGTTGAAAGTATGGCTGCTGTTGAAAATATGGCTGCTGTTAAAAGTTTGGCTCCTGTTGAAAGTATGGCTCCTGTTGAAAGTATGGCTCCTGTTGAAAGTGTGGCTCCTGTTGAAAGTATGGCTCCTGTTGAAAGTATGGCTCCTGTTAAAAGTATGGCTCCTGTTGAAAGTATGGCTCCTGTTGAAAGTATGGCTCCTGTTGAAAGTTTGTCTCTGATTGAAAGTATGGCTTTTGTTGAAAGTATGGCTCCTGTTGAAAGTTTGTCTCTGATTGAAAGTATGGCTTTTGTGAAAAGTATGGCTCCTGTTGAAAGTTTGTCTCTGATTGAAAGTATGGCTTTTGTGGAAAGTATGGCTCCTGTTGAAAGTTTGTCTCTGATTGAAAGTATGGCTTTTGTTGAAAGTATGGCTCCTGTTGAAAGTATGGCTCCTGTTGAAAAGTATCTAGAATTTTCTTGGCTATGCCCCTCTGCCCTCCAGAGCTTGAAGAGCAGACATAGAATCGCTGAAGATGACAATATTTTGGTTCTTTGGTTGCTGTTTAAAGTAAGGTTGCAGAGAGAAGTGAGAGAGGTTGACCAACATCATTGTGATGAAGATGCTGATGATAATGACGATGATATTGACGAAAAGATGATGTTCATTATGATGATGATTAATTATTTCAGTAACGAATTTATATATGTGCTAGAAATCGAAGAAAAGAAACAGAGCAGCTTCTTCACCCTTTTGTCCAGTTCCTTGGTGTGGGTGGCCTTGTTGGTCACACTGACCTTGGGAGTTGGCAATTCCTTTCTGTGGCCAGTCTTTTCCATCCACCTGGAACAGGTCAGTACTGCTGCCTCTGCTACTACTATTAGTGCCACGACTACTGCTACTCTTGCTGTCTCTGCTACTACTATTAGTGCCACGACTACTGCTACTCTTGCTGTCTCTGCTACTACTATTAGTGCCACGACTACTTCTACTGTTGCTGCCTCTGCTACTACTTCTAGTACCACGACTACTGCTACTCTTGCTGCCTCTGCTACGACTTCTAGTACCACGACTACTGCTACTCTTGCTGCCTCTGCTACGACTTCTAGTACCACGACTACTGCTACTCTTGCTGCCTCTGCTACTACTTCTAGTACCACGACTACTGCTACTCTTGCTGCCTCTGCTACTACTTCTAGTACCACGACTACTGCTACTCTTGCTGCCTCTGCTACGACTTCTAGTACCACGACTACTGCTACTCTTGCTGCCTCTGCTACTACTTCTAGTACCACGACTACTGCTACTCTTGCTGCCTCTGCTACTACTTCTAGTACCACGACTACTGCTACTCTTGCTGCCTCTGCTACTACTTCTAGTACCACGACTACTGCTACTCTTGCTGCCTCTGCTACTACTTCTAGTACCACGACTACTGCTACTCTTGCTGTCTCTGCTACTACTTCTAGTACCACGACTACTGCTACTCTTGCTGCCTCTGCTACTACTTCTAGTACCACGACTACTGCTACTCTTGCTGCCTCTGCTACGACTTCTAGTACCACGACTACTGCTACTCTTGCTGCCTCTGCTACTACTTCTAGTACCACGACTACTGCTACTCTTGCTGCCTCTGCTACTACTTCTAGTACCACGACTACTGCTACTCTTGCTGCCTCTGCTACGACTTCTAGTACCACTACTGCTACTCTTGCTGCCACTGCTACTACTATTAGTGCCACGACTACTGCTACTCTTGCTGCCTCTGCTACTACTATTAGTGCCACGACTACTGCTACTCTTTCTGCCTCTGCTACTACTACTATTACCAATGCTGCTACTGCTGCTACTACTACTAGCGCCACGACTACTGCTACTACTACTGCTGCTGCTGCTACTACTACTACTATTACCAATGCTGCTACTACTGCTACTACTACTACCACTACGACTATTACTACTACTACCACCACCACCACCTAGTACCACGAATACTTCTATTATTACTGCTGCTGCTATTACAATTATTTAAATCATTGTTGTTATTACCATAACAGCTGCTGTACAGCTGCTGTTACCACCACTACACCAACATAAAACTAGCAGTAACACAAATAGCACAGCCAGTAATATTAACTTGATACTGTTAATTATTCTCATTTTTGTAGGATTTCTATCTTCTCAGATAACGTTAAAATAATTATGCATGTGAAAAGTTTTCACGACTGTAACGCCATAACATTGTTTTCAAGTCCCAATTCCCCCTCCCTTCTGTCTCATTGTAGTAACCAATAATGATGAATGTTATATTTCAGTTTCATCTATCATCGTCTCTGATTGGTCTGATGTTTATCATTGTCCCAGGGCTATATGGACTCACAATGACTGTCTCGGGATACTTGTTGGACAAAAAGGTTTGGTAAAACTAATGTTTCGCTCTTCATATTCGACTCATATACACACTAGCTGACTTCGGATTGGTAGACCTTGAGCCACGTGTATTTGGCACAAGGTTAAGGTGTTTTCCGCAGTGCTGTTGGTGTCGCGTGGTGTATATTTCAGCACGCTAGCGCTTTTAGCACTCCAAAAATATGTACAAACTTGATCTAACACAATTCCCCCTCCCCCTCCCCACATATAAAGTGCTGCAACCTATTTCACAGGCTTTCTCTTTCTTTGAAAGAACGTAAATGTAAGACAACCCAGAAAGCAAACAACAGAATGGCACATCCGTAGCATGCAGGAAAGTAGACCAGCCCAAAAAACTTGTAAATGAAACGTCACCTACTTTGTTTGGGGAGACTAACTTAAACCTAACCCAAGGTTTGGCTTATTTGTGTTAGTTCTTAAATCTAGCCTTCAACTTGACACTTTGACATCCAGCGTTGTATTTCTGGACCGAATAAACTTGTTACACATATCGACTGGAACCAATACTCGGTACTATACAACACATATTATCACACAAATGAGGATGGGACATAAGACACAACTTCACTAGTCTCTGTTCTTGTTTTGGCAGTTTTGTTCAACTCTAAGAGATTTCTAATGTTAATTTGAGGCATGGAGGGTTGGTTACTAAGGGCTTTATACTTTCAACATGGTCTGATCATCGTGTGTTGGGTATGCCATTAAGAGAACAGGGTTTGAGTCCTGTTACACATTGTGGGAGAGTTAGGGCGGGGTAGTATGGATTTCAAGGGTCCTAACCAGTTTTTTTTTTTTTTTTGGTCCAGGGGAGATGACTCTAGGAGCAGAGTTAGCGTGGGCAAATAGAGCTGAACCTATATTATAAACACCAATCGACACGAGGTGGTTAATGTGATCAGTATCACGCCGGCCGCCTTTCTTCCCAGTGCTGTACCTTGTACCCACTAAAAGATGGGTCGACCTGAGAGCCGTGACCACTTTTGAAATTAAAAAATCTGGCTCTGTCAAAACTAGAGCGTCCGATCGGCAGATGAATGTCTAGCCGCTACACAACGGAACCTTTCGGCTAGCATTATAATACTTGTAAAGGGTACATTTCACGTGTGACAGGTTCTGCGTGAGTGGCGTTAGCATACAGCTAACGTTGGGTTCACTATGTTCAAGGTGTTGTTAAGTGAAGTGATGTCATCATCATCATCATCAGGTGCCTTGCCGACTGGTGTTGGCGATCATGCCTCTCCATAATCTGCAATCTCCTGCAGCATGTATCAGTTCGTGTGCCGACACACCTTCATGCCATGCAACAAGACTGTCAAGAATCTTCTCTCGTTGTCTTCCTCTATCCCTCCTTCCACATATCTTTCCGGTGGTCACAACTTGTTCTATTTTTCCTCTTCTCATAACATGGCTGAAAAATGATGACTGTCTCCTTCTGATGTCTGTGATAAGTTTTTTTTGGGCTCCCGCCTCTTTCAAAACCTCTTGGTTGCTCTTTGTGGCTGTCCAAGCTATTCTATGCATTCTTCTGTAAAACCACATCTCTGAGGCCTCTAGAAATTGTTTGGCCTGCCTACCGATTGATCTGGATTCACAGCCATATGTTAAAACTAGATGTATGTAGCAAGCAAATATTCTTCTTCTAACTAGAGTGACATCTTCTTTGGCAATAAAACCTGATAAAATAACAACCTGATCTGTTACCACAAATATAACCTAAAAAGGCAGAGAGTAACCCTCTCCAGCCCTAAGTTGAACGTGGTCATAGGGGGCTGTGGTGGGTGGGGTTGTGGGGGGGGGGGGCGGTTGTCAATCAATCTTTGCCAATGACAAGTGTTAACAGCGATAACATGCTCGTGTGACTACTGAGGTTCCGCAGCTCAAACATGGGTCACTTAATCAGGGTATTAAGTTAAATTTTGTTGCCTTGGCTTCATTGGTTATGTTAACAATGTCTCATCCCAGGACGTCAAGAAAGTTGTCACTGTCTATGGGAGTTTTATTTGTGGTTTGAGTTTACTGCTCCTTGGTCCTACCCCACTGTTGCCGTTCCTGCCTGTGTAAGTATAACCAAGTTTAATCATAGCATCATCGTCATCATCATCATCACGGCTAATTCATCAACATCACCACCATTCTGTTGACAATTATACCGTCACATAGCTCGCAGTTGAGTCCCCCAGCCTGTTCTATCCTGTGTAATCATTACGATATCATAGATGAGATCCAGCCTAGCACCTGTAGCCTCTCTCCCCAGTTATCGTCCTATGGTTTGTATCTTTTACGCCCGCGCGTCAACGTCGAAGAAATTGTCGCATCTTGTTGAAAAAAAAAATTAAAGGTTTTCACGAAATCAGGAGCGCACGTCCGCTGCTACATTCTTATCAGAAGCTTCTTTTTCTTCTTCTTCTTCTTCTTCTTCTTCTTCTTCTTCTTCTTCTTCTTCTTCTTCTTCTTCTTCTTCTTCTTCTTCTTCTCTTCTTTTTCTTCGCGTTCACCAGCCGTATACTCTAGCAAAAAGTTCTGTTGGAGATGTTCCATGAGCTGTGCGTGCGTGCATGCATGCGTGCGCTCGCGTGCGTGTATGTGTGTGTAATATTCAGTTTGTTTGGTATTTCAATGGTCGATAAAGTCACTACAGTGGTAAAGGTAAATGGAGGTTATGAATTTTTATATAGTACAAAATTAATAAACGAACGAAATTAAGAACTTTATTTTCAAAGGGTCACGAATTCGGCACGCAGGCCCGTTTTACATTCGGCCCTTCTAAACACCCGTTTTTCACACTGCAGCGTATTTTGTAAATAAGCATATTATATTAATATGATATCTAATGACTTGTGTCAACTAGTTCAGTAAATTTGCTTTGGCGATCCTTATAAACACGAAGACAGAGAAAGCTTTGATAACGGCTGTGAGTAAACTAGTCACTAGTCAAAAACCAATAAATTTTCACACAGATCAAGGTTCAGAAACCACCTACAAGATTTTCTTAAAGTTTCTTAATTAGGGGATTGTCTACCTTTTCGCAAAATATGGATGTCAGAGCAGCTATAATGGAGCATATCAGCTGAACTTTGAAAGCCAAGAGTTGAGGTTTTTATGTTATTAAAACCAAGATATGTCGATACATAAAAGTAATCATTCATACCACGGCAGCATTTACATAGGGCCATGTCAGGTTAACATCAGTAATCGTGAAGAGTTGTATTCAGCGGTTGACATAAGCGAGTGTCTGAAGAAGGTGATCGAGTCAGACTCTAGCAAGCCAGACGTATCTGAAAAGGATTTTACCCCATCGTGACTGAAGAATATTTTACAGTCAGCAGTGTAAACAGAACAACACTGGTAATTTTTTTTTTTTTTTTTTAATGTTTTAGATGAGCAACTGCAAGAAAAGTTTTACAAATGAAAGATCCGGAAACCGGTTGAGAAACAAGTCTATGAAATCGAGAACATTATACAAGAAAGTCGAGGGTTTCAATGTAGAAAAAGTATCTAGTCGAATGATCGGATTATAATTGTTTATTCCAAGCTTGGATCGTAGACAAAAACAAAATATTGAGGTATAGAGATTAGCGCTATGGAAGGGGAAAAAAGACAAGGTACAGAAAAATCACAGTCTTGACTCTCAGATAGGCTCACGTGTGGTTTTTGTTCAATAAACTACTTCAGCGCCCTGACTTTGTCTTCCCCTATCCAGTTTCTGGTTATAAACATCGTCAACAACGTGTCGCTGTTCAATCTGACCCGAAGAACCGCTAATGAGCAAGAAGGAAAAACAATGGATCGTTTTCAGGCCCAGTTGTCTCTCTTGTACGTTACACCACTTAACCAACACGAGTTCTATGCTACATCCGCTATATCCGCGGCAAATTGGCCTCAGATCGGACCTTATACACTACTTCTATGTCGGAAGGAACTAAAATGGGCCTGTACAACTATTCATGAATACCATCCACAGGAAACTCTGGGTAATAATTGTGGGCCTGTTCGTGTATGGGTTGCACTACGGACCTGTCGTGATAGCAACTATGAGATGTACGATTGCTGGTGCGGGGTGAGTATATCTTTGTGTGCGCTCCCATGTTTTGTGTTGTCTTTTGTTTTTTAAATAATTTTTTTTTCTACAAACAACAGTAGAACCTGCACCACCTAAGGCGTCTCGCACATCGCCATTGACTTAAAAAAACAACAACATAAAGTACAAGAGCTTTGAATCCGCACTGAACAGAGAGGAACAAGAATTGACACCAGTTGTTAGGACAGTTTAGCCTAAACTGGACGTAAGATAAAGGTCTCTTGTCCACGCCTTTAGGCATATAGAGCTAGGCCTATTTTTGTATAGACCAATCAGCACAAGATGGGTGATGTGGTCAGCATCACTCCAGCTGCATTTACTTCCCAGGACTGCACCCGGCACCCACTCAAGGCTGGGTCGACCTGGGAGTCAATGTCATTTAAGAAAAAAGTCCGGCTCCGCCAGGGAGCGAACCCACTACTTTCCGATTCGCACGCTTCTAGCCGCTACACCACGGCGACTCCTCAGCCTCAAATGGACAAAAGGGAAAAAAAATTCTGGAAAATAAAGATGGTTGATATGATATTAACCATACTACCCACGAAAGCCGATCGATCTATACAAATGTGATTCACGTAGTTTACCTAAAAGGGCACTGATGACAAAAAGATCCATACTTAATAGCTAATGTCATTCAATTGTTGCCTATGCAGGGGACTGGTTGACTGGTCAGGACGCATTATCTGTTGGTCATTGGTCTAAGAATTAGCAAGGACAACATATCCTGGATTCTATACACATTGAACAGTCGTTGACTGCTTAGTTTGCAGCAGCCGTTGCCATCAATCGTGGTTGTCCGGTTTTTGCTGAAAACAAAAATGCATGGTGGTCAATTTATGTGTGCCCTGCTAGTTAGTTAGTTAGTTAGTTAGTTAGTTAGTTAGTTAGTTAGTTAGTTAGTTAGTTAGTTAGTTAGTTAGTTAGTTAGTTAGTTAGTTAGTTAGTTAGTTAGTTAGTTAGTTAGTTTGTTAGTTAGTTAGTTAGTTAGTTAGTTAGTTGGGTTATCATCATTGCACTCCGGACATGTCCATAGGTGCTCAGATCCTCCCCTCAGTATGAACCCCAACGTCCGATGGCTAATAGTACCAGTTCTATGTTGATTAACAAGTCTTCTGGCGTGCCTAGTGTGCGTCTCGTTTTTTGCTATGCCGATCTTAATTCCGAAGTCTGCCATTCTGGCGAGTGATGTGGATTCACTGCCACCAAAGTCCGCCATCCTTCCCATTTCTCTGCCTATGACTTCCGGTCAGCCCTGCTATGAGAAGCAAGTGCGTGTTTTGGAGTTTTCTTTGTAATTGGAGTTGAATGGGTTCATTTATTGTTTTACCTTAGTTATATGTTACTGAAGCATACATAACAATATACAGTGAAATATGACGTGCAATACTCTGTTAAATCTATTGTTTATTTCGTCTTTGTTTACAATAATTGTTTTCCATTGTCTTTCTCGGTAGCGAACTGGGATTTGAAACCAACCTGGAGGTATACGCCTTAGTGGCTGGAGTATATAATGCAGCATATTTTCTTGGGTTTGTAACTACAACAATTGATAGCAACTTGGTCTAGCATTCACAAAATTTAGTTTGAAAACTGACTTTACATTTGTTTAAGATAATTAGTAATTCGACACGGAAGTCTATGTTTGTAAGAAATATTACATGGTCATTTGGTGATGGACTGAGTTTGAAAGTAGCAGACGGATAGTTTTTGGTCATGCTATCAGGTTTGCCGGACGGTAGGCTGAGGATAACATTATAAAGTGATACTGGAGATGGCTAGTTGATTAGCGTTGTTACATAAACGAAACACAACAATAGCAAACTATCTTCTTAAAAATGGCTAGAAAAGCTGACAATCGGACATCACTGCCTCCTCCCGTTTGTCCGAAGCTGTCGAGATGAGTTCAAAGTCAAATGAAATCTACAACGTCATCGACCCAAACCTCGATTAAGTCCAAACTGAATATTTAAAAAAAAATTGAAAAAAAAAAAAAAAAAACAGTTGGAGAACGATGTTAAACACTGTATAGAGATATTCTTTCTGTAAAAAAACTGGGAGACTATTGTGAGTTACTTAGCATTTATGTAGACAACCAAAGGACCGAGATCTGCGGGAAGACGTGATGGCCTGTACCATCGCGCAAGGGACATGCTACTGATGACGCAGATGAGGGGCTTCTGTGTCGTAGTATCAAAGATGAAAGACAGATAGTTGACTTGTCAATTTAAACACAAAATTATCGCTACATTCTACCAGCTTTCCCAAATATGGTGATTTTGTAGTGTTAATTGTGCCTGTTTATTTGTGCCATATGTTGTGGCTTAAAATTGCTTACCCCCAAGTAGCCCTGAAGCTTGACTCAGTGTTGATGCGATAACCCAAATACTTTGCGATCGGCTGCCAAGTCACCCATTTGTGCACCAGTTAGGTTAGTTGCGTATCCTTTACAAGACGTTGCAGAACCAACCCCAACAGCTCCTGGCTGTTGTGTATTTATTCTAGGCAAATTTACGTCCAGTAGTTTGAGCACCAGTAAACCCTGTATTTACACGAAGACGCTGTCTCTGTTCATGCGAACCCGTCTCAATATGGGACACATTTAAAAAAAAAAATCAATCCCGGGGGCCTAACCTACTGGTTGAACCTGGTTTTCTGGAACTTGGGAGTGAAGGTATTCCTTGTTGAATGGTTGCAGTTTGTGCCACCGGTGAAGGTATTCCTTGTTGAATGGTTGCAGTTTGTGCCACCGGTGAAGGTATTCCTTGTTGAATGGTTGCAGTTTGTGCCACCGGTGAAGGTATTCCTTGTTGAATGGTTGCAGTTTGTGCCACCGGTGAAGGTATTCCTTGTTGAATGGTTGCAGTTTGTGCCACCGGTGAAGGTATTCCTTGTTGAATGGTTGCAGATTGTGCCACCAGTGAAGGTATTCCTTGTTGAATGGTTGCAGATTGTGCCACCGGTGAAGGTATTCCTTGTTGAATGGTTGCAGTTTGTGCCACCGGTGAAGGTATTCCTTGTTGAATGGTTGCAGTTTGTGCCACCGGTGAAGGTATTCCTTGTTGAATGGTTGCAGTTTGTGCCACCGGTGAAGGTATTCCTTGTTGAATGGTTGCAGTTTGTGCCACCGGTGAAGGTATTCCTTGTTGAATGGTTGCAGTTTGTGCCACCGGTGAAGGTATTCCTTGTTGAATGGTTGCAGTTTTGTGCCACCGGTGAAGGTATTCCTTGTTGAATGGTTGCAGTTTGTGCCACCGGTGAAGGTATTCCTTGTTGAATGGTTGCAGTTTGTGCCACCGGTGAAGGTATTCCTTGTTGAATGGTTGCAGTTTGTGCCACCGGTGAAGGTATTCCTTGTTGAATGGTTGCAGTTTGTGCCACCGGTGAAGGTATTCCTTGTTGAATGGTTGCAGTTTGTGCCACCGGTGAAGGTATTCCTTGTTGAATGGTTGCAGTTTGTGCCACCGGTGAAGGTATTCCTTGTTGAATGGTTGCAGTTTGTGCCACCGGTGAAGGTATTCCTTGTTGAATGGTTGCAGTTTGTGCCACCGGTGAAGGTATTCCTTGTTGAATGGTTGCAGTTTGTGCCACCGGTGAAGGTATTCCTTGTTGAATGGTTGCAGTTTGTGCCACCGGGAGTTTATCGCTGATTGTGTGGTGCTGGTATGGTTAAATGTTACTCACTCTACTAATCTATATCAATAAAAATGTAAATGTTCGTTTGTAGCTAATCGGTTATCTCCGAAAGTTCTTCACCGATTTCTAAGAAATTCTGACACAATGTTGCATTCTAATACGCGCGTGTTTTTATATAATAATACGTCACAAAGCAGGAACTACGTAGCTCCAGTGACGGCCACGTCGGCATCTCTGCTCTGTTTTCCGACGATCCGATTTTTTTTTTCGGTGCCGCGTTCCAGGCGCGGCTTTTTAAATGTTCACACATAGGCGAACTTTGACTGTTGACATCATAAATCTGCATGAAGATGTATGAGATAGTAAATTATTTCGTTATAGGGTCAAAGAGGTATTGAAGTAATGCATGAACGTTTGAAGATGTTGGCATAATAACAAGTTGGGAACAGCAAGCGAGTTGTTGAAAGACTGTACAGGAATGAAAAGATATGGAAATGAAAGATTAGTTATTAATGAGGACTATTAACACAACAACCCGACAGATCCATAAGTTCTCAGATCTTTTCTTGGACAGCTCCACAAGCGAAAAAAAAAAACCACTAGTGACGCCCGTTCTGATGTCATTAATCAGACGACTCTTGCCTTTGGTCAAATATTATTGTCTGGCTGCTTCAGGCTACACTCCCATATCCACCGCCCTCGACGCGATCTTCTTTGAGATATGCATCTCACTTGACATTAATGACGTCACTACTGTCCATGATTGTGAAATTAACCATATTAGACACGTGCGCTTTCTAATTTCTTTCTTTTTCCACTCAGCCAGACTGAGCCACAGCAACGCGTGGCCAGGTACAACTAGAATCTAATAAATATTATATCTATTGATGATGAGAGCTATTTATTTTTCCAGAACATTTATTGGACCGACGATGTCCGGGACGCTGGTGGAGACCATTGGGTTCAGATGGGCGTCAACTTGCATGACTGGACTCTTTCTGCTGGCTGTGAGTAAAGTTTCGCAATCACCAGGGGAAGACCAACACTGGTTTTCAGGCTTCTTCTATATTAATACAAATCTTAATTTTCCGGTGTCGAGCTCTAAACTCGGAAACTACTGAACCGATTGCTTTCCAATTTTCACACAACGTTGCCTCTGACTCAAAGCGTTATTTTTCGTAATAAAATCGCATAAACCGCGAACGACGTAGCTCCGGCAAAGGTCAAATCATTATTTGTTTCGTTGCCCGCCCGGATTTATTTTTAAAGTATAGGCAATCTTTGACTGTGCAACACCGACCGTCACATTATTATTATATATTTTTATTTCTACTAAAATGCTTGGCTATTTAGTAGCTTAGTTAGTTGTAAGCATTTCGCTTATGTTACTCGGGTGATAGGAGTTAAATTCCCCGGTGGGTGATATAATTTTTTTTGCCCCTAACTGGGTGGCTGCCACGTTTTGTTGTGGTTTATAGCTAGGCTGCAGTATCTACGTTTTTTGTTCCATTAGATTTTGAGGTTTACAGCTAGCCTGCGATAGCCGTAGTGGCGACGTGATGCTGTCATGGGTAATATTCGTTCGCCCTTGAGAGGGCAGTTGGCACAGTTGACCTAGATTCTTCGGTAGTAAAGTTGTAGGTATTCCAATCTGCACGTGTATAACGGGTGTTCGATTCCTCGCTGGGTACTAATTTTTCTTTTTACCCCAAAGGTGCGATTGGCACGTTGTGTTGTTGTTTAAAGCTAAGTTGCGATATCTGCGCCTTACGCCATAAGACAACCGATTTAAGTACAGTACACATTAGCCTTACCCCCTCCCCCCCCCCCACCCCCGACGCTTCACTCGATCAAAAACTATTCGTGTATGACAGACACTGTTAACTAAGAAGGCTTACGGTCCAGTTTGGTTTGGGTCGACACGGATGCCAAGGTTAATTAAACATCGTCACTTCGGACTGGGAGACATGACGAGTGCGGTTTTTTTTTTCCGCTATTTGTGAGTATAGTGTACATTTTTTTTTTTTTTTATCACGGAATTTTACTTTGGGTTCCATCACTGGTTAAGTGATGGAGTTTTATGTCGGGGACACACTTAAACTAAATAGTCCGTGAGGACAGCATGCGGCGCCAACTCCTCTGGCTACAACGACCTGTACAGACAGTAGTTACCGTTTTGTATTGTTGTTGTTGTGACGGTGGTGATGGTAGTGGTAGCAGTAGTACTGGTACTCCATGGGTTATGTGGTAGCTGTTACACTGGCCACATTTACTTCTCAGTACAGATTAATGCTACCCATTTTTGCCTGGGTGGACACGGATGCCAAGCTCAATTTAACAACAATATTTCGTCAGGCGATGACTTCCCCATACTTCGTAGAGGATGACATGATTGGGGGGTGGGGGGTGTCGAGGGTGTGGGGGGAGGGGGGGTTGATGCCAAACACTGTTAACTAAGAGAGCTTAAAACATTTTTTTTTTTTTTTTTTTACATTTCTCATTTCCTAACTATTTCTATTTTAACAATGTCGCCACATAATATTGTTTCAATTATTCGGAGAGGCAGATATAATTGGGCAGATGCTTGAGTCCTTGGTAGCGTAGTTGTCTATTTTGCGTGTTACGTGGGTGATTGGCGATCATTGCCCCGCTGGGTGATAAAGCTTTTTTTTTTTTTTTTTGCCTTTAACTAAGCGCCTGGCACGTTTTGTTGTGGTTTACAGCTAGGCTACGATATCTACGTCTTCTTTTCGCTCGATTTGGGGGTTTACAGCTTGCCTGCGACAGCGGCGACGAGTTGTTGGTCATGTTACGGGTAATCTTCGTTCGCCTTTGAGAGGGCGGTTGGAACGTTGTGTTGTGGTTTACAGCTAGGCTATGATATCGGACCCAATCTCTTCAGTCTTAGGTAGTATATTTGTACGTAATCCCCCCCTTCACATGGTTGACCGGTGTTCAATTACCCACTGGTTGCCACTTTTCCTTTTTTCTCTCAAGAGGACTGTTGACATGTTGTGTTGTGATTTACAGTTAGGCTGCGATATCTGCACCTTTCGCCCAAAGACATCCGATTTCAGGAAAGTCCCATTTATCCTCCTCTCAACGCTTCACTCGATGATAAACTATTCGTAGATGACAGAAGCTGTTAACTAAGACTGCTCACAGTCCAGTTTACTTTGGGTGGACACGGATGCCAAGGTAATTTAACATTCGTCCCTTCGGAGAGGGGAGAGGACAGGTGGGGTTCCCCCCCCCCCCACCCCCGCTATTTGTCAGTATAGACCGGACTATTGCCGTGGGATTTCTTTTTCTTTGTTGGGAGCTCAATTACACTAAACAGTCTGTGGCGACATCATGCAGCGCTAACCCCTCTGGCTACACCGACCTGCACAGACAGTAGTGACTGTTTTTTGTTTTTGTTCTTAAGGTGGTGGTGGTAGTGGTAGCAGTAGTATTGGTACTGGATGGGTGATGTGGTAGCTGTTACACTGGCCACATTTACTTCTCCTCATTACACATTAATGCTATCCATCTGTCTCTGGGTGGACACGGGTGCAAAGTTCAGTTCAGTTTTAATATTTCTTCAGATGATGACTTTCCCATCCTTCGGCGAGGATGATATGATTAGTGGGAGGGGGGGGGGGGGGGGGGGGGGGGGGGTTGATGGCAGACACTGTTAACTGAGAGAGCTTAAAACATATTTTTAAAGTTATCATTTCTTAACTATTTCTATTTTAATAATTTCGCAAAGTGATGATTTTTTTTTTTAATTCCTTCAGAGAGAGAGAAATGACTGGGTGGAAGGAAGAGGGACGGGGGTTGAGGGTTATGACAGACACTGTTAGTTAAGAGCTACTTTCTTTCTTTTCCATTTCACTATTTGGGGCCACAGCAACGCGTGGCAGGGCACAGCTAGTATTTTATAAGAATATTATCCGAGTATCATAGATCAGTACTTTTGTTTGCAGAGGAAAGACGGAGAACAAATAAAGCAATTACTAATAAACTAAAGAAATTCATTAACTGGTGCCTGTGCAGAATATAGGGAATTAAATAGTATCATTAATGTAGAGCTTTGGAAGAACTAAGCAAGCTCCAGTGGACCAAGAAGCGAAGAAAAGACGCCTGTAGTGGTGGCGGGGGGGGGGGGGGAAGAGAGAATGATTGAAATGGTTTGAACAAAGGACCAACATCATAGAGGGAGAGGTGGGGGGGGGGGGGGGGGAGAGAATGATTGAAATGGTTTGAACAAAGGACCAACATCATAGAGGGAGAGGTGTGGGGCTATGGCAAGAGCTTTTTATTTGTTTCAGGTGTGATATTGTTGCTAATTGTTATTTGCTGTTTATTTATTTGCATTTGATTTATTTCGTTTTCATTAAAAAAAAAAAACGTATTATTTAATTAACTACTTGTATTTTATGTTAACAGTAAAGCTAGCACACGTGTATTTTATGTTAACAGTAAAGCTAGCACACGTGTATTTTATGTTAACAGTAATGCTAGCACACGTGTATTTTATGTTAACAGTAATGCTAGCACACAAGTATTTTATGTTAACAGTAAAGCTAGCACACAAGTATTTTATCTTAACAGTAATGCTAGCATACAAGTATTTTATGTTAACAGTAATGCTAGCATACAAGTATTTTATGTTAACAGTAATGCTAGCATACGTGTATTTTATGTTAACAGTAATGCTAGCACACAAGTATTTTATGTTAACAGTAATGCTAGTACACGTGTATTTTATGTTAACAGTAATGCTAGCACACAAGTATTTTATGTTAACAGTAAAGCTAGCACACAAGTATTTTATCTTAACAGTAATGCTAGCATACAAGTATTTTATGTTAACAGTAATGCTAGTACACGTGTATTTTATGTTAACAGCAATGCTAGCACACAAGTATTTTATGTTAACAGTAAAGCTAGTACACGTGTATTTTATGTTAACAGTAATTCTAGCACACATGTATTTTATGTTAACAGTAATTCTAGCACATGTGTATTTTATGTTAACAGTAATGCTAGCACACAAGTATTTTATATTAACAGTAATGCTAGCATACAAGTATTTTATGTTAACAGTAAAGCTAGCACACAAGTATTTCATATTAACAGTAATGCTAGCATACAAGTATTTTATGTTAACAGTAATGCTAGCACACAAGTATTTCATGTTAACAGTAATGCTAGCACACAAGTATTTCATGTTAACAGTAAAGCTAGCACACATGTATTTCATGTTAACAGTAATGCTAGCACACATGTATTTTATGTTAACAGTTTTTTTAATAATGTTATTTCAGGCAGTCTGCAGTTTGTTTTATTTTTCTATCCAGCGTTTGAGAAAAGGATGGAAGAAAGCTGCAGACTTGACCTCACAAAAAGGTCACTGTACAACTACAGAAGAGTACAACAACGTAGAAACTACAATAGCGACGAAAAACAGCAACCAACCATTGGAGCCCTGATCTGCTGAAGATATGGGCTTGAAACGTACGATAGCATGCGCCTTGTGATTATCAACGCTTTTGAAATTTTTTTAGATACAGTTAACGAAAGACGAGGGAAAAGGAACAGTTGTTGACATTTTGAAATGGGATTATTCTATTCATGTTACTCAGGGGTCAAAATGATCCAAAAGGGGATCATCGCAGACGAGAGGTTTGAGCCTAGCAGGGGTGGGTCATGAAATCAATTTACTAGGTAATAATCAGCGGGTAATTTACCCGTTAGCCAACAGTTCAATAATAAAGTAAAGCAACTATTTCAAAGCTTTCAGTGTTTTGGGCACAGAGGGCTCGATCTATATTCTTTAGACGATGGATGAAGGAGTCAACAACAAATCAGTCGCCTTTACTTCGCAGCAGTTTATCTAGTACTCATTTAACGCTAGGTCGACCTGGAAGTAAAACTCATTAAAAAGAGAACTGAACTCAAGACCATCGAAGTGAAAGGTGAGAGTCTAGCCAATACACCGCGGCAGATGCCCCAGATGAATAACCCTGTCCTTAGATCTGAACATCCAGCAAAACAGGCTCGTAAACAGCAATTTGTCTCGGAAACTGAAATACTTTGGCCAAATCAAGCGTCGTAGTGGCTTGGAAACCACAGTGATGGGGGTAGGGTACCGGGTAGAGGGCAGGGAGCCACCAGCGCTAATGTTGATAGATGACATCAGAGACACCTTGGATAGAAAAGTACATGAAGGGGTAACGCTGGCTAGTGTCCCGATAAAACAGATGCTGGCGCTATGAGAGCACAAAATAAAAAAATATACAAAACAGATGCTAGGCGCTATGAGAGCACAAAATAATAAATAAACAAGATAAAACAGATGCTGGCGCTAAAAGAGAACACAAAATAATAAATAAACAAGATAAAACAGATGCTGGCGCTAAAAGAGAACACAAAAGACAGTCGACCACGTTCAGTCTACTGCCAGCAGCAAAGCTGCCAGCGGCATTAGGTTATAATTGTGGTCTGGTTTAATTGTGCAATTATCTTGGCTGAGATTGTACTATGCCTGGATTGATGACTTTTTGTCCCTAACCGGATGGATTGTCCGTTCCTATTTGTCCCATTGTGGTCCTGTTATCTTTGTCCTCAGTGTGGTTTTTAACCTCCTTTGTATTGGCTGTAGTAGATGGTATTAACAAGAGCAACGAATTTACACAGAAGGCGCTAAAGAAAACTATAAACTATGTGACACAAACAAACGAATTACATGAGACACTTTACGTTATTTATTAATAGGAAGACTTTCTACAGAATTAGACTGTCTGTCCAACAGCTGCTGAGAATGATCGTCGGCGGTGATTCTTTCATACCGTGCTCGCTGTATCTTGTTGACACCGTAGTACTGTTTTAGGAACACGATGAGGAAGTATGCCCCGCTGCCCAGTGACTGAAACACGAAGAATCAGACAAACTGTAATGATAGTGAGATTCAGAAAACAGCAACAACTTCGCAGAGAATAGATAGTTTCTCATAGTTATAACAGTTCTTTTTTTTTTTAAATTGAATCTTCCAGCAAGATTTATTCCACTATCTGTCCATCAAAAAGTACAACACGGAGACCACCATCGCTCAGACATAATGGAAGTAGAGCTAAACACCGAAGCTATTGATAAACTCACACGGGTTACGGAAAAATAGTTTCCAACAAAAGAAGAAAAAGGATCATTGTTTGAAAGGTCAAAGACCTTAGACAAGGTATGGACGGATGACGTGTTGAAGCTCTTCAACACTGAAACAGTGGAATAAGAGACCAATGTACTACTGGATAACAGATTTCTCATCCCATATGCGACCAGTCTCTGATTTGTGTGTTAATGGCAGTGTCAAAAGCTTCTTCTTTCTTTTTCCAGCTATGGAGCCAGGGGCGTCGACACAAAGAAAACTTTATGGGGGAGGCCTGAAACCCCCTTTTAGTTGTCTAGGGGCAGAATAGTAATAATATAATACATTTTAAATAATATAGAATATATAAACAAATACGTAAACATAGAACGTCTATTCATGGTCAAGGTGACTGTTTAGCCGCTTTGCAAATTTTCTTGAAAGTGAGGCGAGGCTCAAATCTCACCCCCAACCCAACTCCTTAAAGTTATTAGAAGAGCTTAATCCCCATAAAAATCTAAGTGGGGGAAGGGGAGAGGAGGTGGAGCTCACAGTTCCGACTCCTCTGCGTGGGGTATAGGCCCCCAACTAGCAGCTGTGTTTTAGGAGGCCCGACATATAAGGAAAAGAGTAACAACACTGCACCCTCCAGTCCGGCGACTACAGAGAACTACGTCCGTGAGTTGCCCAGGCACTAAGGGTAAACAGGGAGTAGCAACACTTCTCCCTACAAAAGCATGTCGAAAGATCCAGCCAAGGTTGGGATTAGATTTCTGGTTGACTTTCCCACCCTGTAAAGACATTTCACCCTTGAAAACACGATATAGTAAGCTTGCCAGTTAAGTTTGTCGTCTAGCCACCATTAGACGCCCTGACCTACATGTTTAGTAAGTTGGGAAGCATTTTTGCTCCAGAGGGACATCTGCCATATGATGCTACATTCATACTCTTATAGACTGTTAGGAACTAAGTTGGCGATGAGGTCAACATCACACCGGCCGCCTTTGCCTCCCATGACTTTGCCTTGTATCCATTTCAGAGTTGGTTGACCTGCGAGCTGAGGTCATTGTTGCACACACACACACACACACACACACACACACACACAATCTGACTCGATGCGGATTTAGACCTACGACCTTCGGGACTGAGGTCAGCGTCAAACCCATACACCGCCGTGACCCTTAAACCTTATTTTAAATGAATTTATTCTGCGGTGGGAAATTTTATAGCTTCGAAGTGGTTATCATGGCAACGCGATATGTTTAACACACGTTGGGTTTGGCGCGTGATTAAGTTTTATTTCCAAACGGACATATCCCCACAAAATCTGAACTGTATCATTGTTTGTATGGCGCAAGGAGATTCTAGTTGCAAGGTTTAAACTCCGTAGTCCTGGCGAGATTCCATATTATTCACTCCTTATTGTAATTTATAAAGTTCGTTTTTTTCCCCCCGGCTCTCTCTCAAATCTGTGTAGTCTGCCACTTGTCCTGTTGAGTTAGTAACACTTAACGAAAGCCATATCTGGCTGCCACGTTAGCGCGCTTGTCTGTTGACTGCTGGTCTTAGGTTCGACTCTCGATCGAGGCGGTGAATTTGACGGTATCCAGTACCGTCATCGATTCTAAGGTTTCAGTTTGATCGGTGAAACTGTAAGCGATACTTTATGTGAGTAGCGGCACTTTTCTGAGATCTTTTATGGTTATTACCGACACTTCCTTTCCGTCAAGAAATATTATTTTTTTTAACTGTGTACAATTACATATTCAAGGAAGTAAATGTTTCCTGCGTGATGTTGACCATACCACCTGTCATCTTTTGATCTATAGACATTCAGAGCAAGCATTCTTCCTCTTCTTCTTTTGTCGTCAAACTGATACCAGGTTGTAGCCCAGTGTCGTGGTTTTGTTGTCAAACTGATACCAGGTTGTAGCCCAGTGTCGTGGTTTTGTTGTCAAACTGATACCAGGTTGTAGCCAAGTGTCGTGGTTTTGTTGTCAAACTGATACCAGGTTGTAGCCAAGTGTCGTGGTTTTGTCGTCAAACTAATACCAGGTTGTAGCCAAGTGTCGTGGTTTTGTCGTCAAACTGATACCAGGTTGTAGCCAAGTGTCGTGGTTTTGTCGTCAAACTGATACCAGGTTGTAGCCCAGTGTCGTGGTTTAAGGACGTTGTCTTGGGTTGTTGGGTGGCTTGGATGATTGTTTGTTTTCTTTGCAGGTTTCAGCTACATCATTTATCATCTCTTTCTTCGTCTGCCCGCACCTTCTTCCCCGATGTCCTGCTGTAAAAAGTTGCATCTGCAGTTTGGCTTCCTGCATTTTCACTAGATGACCGAACTATGTATTATTTTTCAATCAATGTAATACAGACACCGTCTTACTTCAACTTTCTCTCGAATGCTGGTTATTCATAACCCTGTCCTTTCTTGTGTTCTTAGTGACATTACGGAGGCAGCGCCTTTCACTTGAAGTTGTTTTTTATTCTAGTGCTTTATTCATGTTCCATGTATGACACTGACAGGATAAAGTAGGCATGAGGATGCTATTATCCATTTGCTGTTTGACTGCAATGGAGAGCGAGCAATACACGCGTAAAAGTCTCAGATAGTGAGAAAGTCTCCTTCACTTTAAAGAAAGGCGTCATTAGATACCAGGGCAGGAGGATATGCAAACTAATGATGGATACACAACAGATGAACTTACTGAAACAAAAAAAAAACTTGCAAACACGGTGGTACTGTGGCGGAAACCAATCTCTTGCACCGACACACCGCTGACAATAGGACCAACAAACGCACTGTGGACAACATTTGTTTATGTCTAAAACGTCAGTAAATAAATATCAACACCAGGACACAACATCTGGACACAACACAAGGACACAACACAAGGACACAACACCCGGACACAACACTAGGACACAAAACCGGGACACAACACTAGGACACAACACCGGGACACAACACTAGGACACAACACTAGGACACAACACCAGAACACATCACCAGGACACAACACCAGGACAAAACACCTGAACACAACACCAGGACACAACACCAGCACACAACACCAGACTACAACACTAGGACACAACACCGGGACACAACACTAGGACACAACACCAGAACACATCACCAGGACACAACACCAGGACAAAACACCTGAACACAACACCAGAACACAACACTAGGACACAACACCAAGACACAACACCAGGACACAACACTAGGACACAACATCTGGACACATTACCAGAACACAACACCAGAAGTCTGTTATGTAACCAGTAACCAGTTTAGTAGACAACTATAATCTGTTGCTGAGGGCGTGCTGACGTTTGTAACTGAGTAACTATTGGCTGTCAGTTGCTGAAAGCGTGCTGACGTTTGTAACTCAGTAACTATTGGCTGTCAGTTGCTGAAAGCGTGCTGACGTTTGTAACTCAGTAACTATTGGCTGTCAGTTGCTGAAAGCGTGCTGACGTTTGTAACTCAGTAACTATTGGCTGTCAGTTGCTGAAAGCGTGCTGACGTTTGTAACTCAGTAACTATTGGCTGTCAGTTGCTGAAAGCGTGCTGACGTTTGTAACTCAGTAACTATTGGCTGTCAGTTGCTGAAAGCGTGCTGACGTTTGTAACTCAGTAACTATTGGCTGTCAGTTGCTGAAAGCGTGCTGACGTTTGTAACTCAGTAACAATTGGCTGTCAGTTGCTGAAAGCGTGCTGACGTTTGTAACTCAGTAACTGTTGGCTGTCAGTTGCTGAAAGCGTGCTGACGTTTGTAACTCAGTAACTGTTGGCTGTCAGTTGCTGAAATTTGGCATCCAACCTGTTAATAATCGTGTTCCGGTAAAGAAATTTTGTTATTGTAAACAAACATTTAATTTCCAGTTCGCCTAATTCACGGTATACGAAACAAACAGAGACCGAACGAAATCAAACAGTAGGCACGCGTAAATTCATTGAGTAACATTAAATTGCAAGCGTTTCATAGGTGTTTTACTCTCAGGTAGTCATTTCTAACAAAAGCCTCCCGTGAGTTACATGAACATAATTTTTCATTGTTTGCGCGATAATCTATTTTAAAATCACCACGCATCGCTGCACATGTCAAATCATTTTCCAACAATCTTCAGGCGCGTGTCAGTATATTCTATTTTTGGAGGTACACATATTATTAGTCAAAGATCAAAATAAATTCTCCGCTTTAAGCAAACAGCAGCACCTGTACAACTGTAAATTTTAAAATCATAAGGACATGCGAAATCTAATGCCACATGCACAAATTCGTGTTGTGTTGATCCGTATGGGAGTTGTCGAGATTTGTGTGAAAGTTTACGTCACGACTTTTGAAACACATTTTAGTTCATATTTTGTAAAGAAAGTTCGATGACAACATAAAAGATTGGCTCTGTCATCATTATCTATTGAAAAGATTGTCTGGTTATCAACGCTTCTTTGTCTTCTTCAGCATTCTGGGCCCTTGATGTTTATACATAAGAGAATAATAAATCTGTAGCTTATGGCTTCACAGTTTGCAGAAGTCTCCAGACATTTTCTTATCTTCTAAATGCAATTTATTTTAGTTTAATATGTATCTAATTTAAGAAAGAGACAAACACTGTTCTTTGGCCACATAATGAGAAGAGAGACATTGACAAACATCGTGACAACTGGAAAGATCAGTGGGAAAATAGGTAGAGGCAGACCAAGAGAGATGATGCTGGATGGGCTAAAACGATGGCATGGAGGGATATCATAGTAGTAGGAGGCGGTAATAAAGGTATTATTTGGCCTAAGCCACCTTCTTCATCCTTAATTAAAGATGGCGGCCAAATGTGCTTGGTCTGTTAGTGTGGCTGTTCTTTATCCTTAGTAAATATCGATCGGGTGGCTGATGACGGCACGCGTGACTGGTTTTCCCGGGCGGGGAAAGACATATGGTGCATTAATCGATATGTTGTCTCCAAAGCAACGGGTGACACATCGTTGGTAGGTCGGTGTGTGTGTATTTTTAGGTGGAGTGATTTAAGGAAGGCAGATTGATATTTCGCTAGTGTATTATTGTTCGGGCTGACAAAGCGATACTTTGCAGGCGCATTATTATCTTAATAACTGCAGGTGACAGGTGGCGTTATATAAAGGGCGACGTCAGGAACAATAGTTAGGCAAGCAGCAGGGCGGGCGGGGCAGGGGCGACAAGGCGACTAATAGAGTCGGCGTGGGCTTATGGGTTCTGTAATAGACACAATTAGGAGTGGTTTGTTAGCGGGGGATATATATGTTACAACAAGTTAGGGGATATGAAAATAGACTTATAGACGGCAGTGACAGGTGGCAGAGGTGAACCGTTTTAGGGTTAAGGTAAAGAAACCTAGGAAGGCGGTTTGATGACCGGGAATATATTAGAAAGGGCAGCTTGGGCGCCGGCATTATTATCATCTGTGCCATGGAAGCGAAGGTCGACCGCTCAGGGATGGTTTGAACTGTAGTAAAAACGATGACATACGACAGAAGGGTGGGTGTCTGGTAATACTGCTGAGAGCCGAAGAGAAGGGGCATAATTGGCAGACTATCTGACTTTATAAAAAAGTATGCGAAGGTTCTGATTGGTCAGTAGGATTCAGTGGTAATTATGCTGGAGCAGTCGGGTTAGAAAAACTCGTCAGTTGGTGTCGCTCCACTAGGTACGCCCGCCCGCCCGTAGGCACGCACGCAGGCCCGCGGGGTCGTTTTAGGGGATAGATACAGAAACCTAGGAAGGTGGATTGATGGCAGGGAGAAAGTGGGGCTTGGGCGCCATCATCATCCGCGTCGTCGTAAACTGTCGTTGTCTGAGTAATATTAAACAGTTAGTGTCCTTGGTTACTTTCTGTTTCATAAATTAGAGACTAATAGATAGCTGTGGATAGATGGCTGGACGTGTATAAGTTGGATATATACATAACAACTATACAATATTTATAACTAAGACAAAAAATAGCAACGCAACAATATTCTGCTTTTATATTTCTTTTATTCATAAAAGCAAAGTTGGCGTAGACAGCTTCTCTTTGCAAGGGGCCAAGGAACCGAGTCATCTATAGAGGCAGTAGGTCGGTTGTTCTCGATAGTCTCAATGTGTCGGATGACAGGATCCGGTGTAAATTCGTCCGTGCTGTCGATGGGGCTGTTCTCGTCAGCGTAGGGTTCTGTAATCCTGGTTGTAGGCGGATAACAAGGAACGGTTAGCAGCTCCAGCCGATCAAACTCTGTCAGGATCTCCGACTTCGGGTCAAATAGTTGCTCAACTTCTAGGCGACGTAGAGTCAGTCCCGTTTTGGTGGGAAATTTGAGATTTGCCTTGCCAAAGAAACGTCTCAAGTGGAGTGCCGGTGTCCCTGTATATAGCGAGACCGAAACAGCGTTTAAGCCAGCGTCCAAAGGTTTCACCACCTCGTTGTTTCTAGTCATGTACACCCAACAGGTCGGGACTGTAGACATCTTCAGTGTGCCTATGACATCGGCTATAAGAAGATAGTCGCTGCTCAAGCTGTTTATATACTAACAGTGAGCTTGTAGAACCGGTTTAAACTCGATATGTCCGGCTTTGTTTTGCTGATTAAGGGCGAAACGAGGCGCCAAAAGTTTGGAGGCCGGCTGCTCATGGGTAGTTTAAGTTGTAGGGGGAAAAATAGCAAAAGGACAAGAAGTGTGTCAAAGTGTCGGCTTCTGGTCGTACAAATATGGTTGAGCTGTAGTAAAAAAGAAAAGAGAGCTGTTGTGTCATATTGTTAGATATCACCGCTCATAGAGGGTTTATGTTGTAGGTCAGAGGCGGCGCCACCAGGCGACGAAGGGGAGCTGGGCCAATTTTGGGTGCCGAAAGGGCGCTATATCTTTCCCGACAGCCAGCGTAAAGCACTCACGAGACGTCGCATGTCTTTCACGGGTCTTGACAAGGCGATAACCAAAGATGCCGTGTAACCCGATCACTATCCTTGGGGCACAGCAAGTCCCCCGATGTTTTTCTTCACAGGACACCTTAAGTCACTCAAGATACAAAGCCGGTCCTTTACTGGTCTTGATAAGTCGTCAACTAAGGTTCTTATTAAGTAGCTAACTGTCCTTCTGACACAGCAAGTCACTCGATGGTTTTCTCTACGGGACACCACAAGGCACTCAAGAGACAGAGCATGTCTTTCACTGGATTGTCAAGTCAGTCGCCGACGGTTCTTAGTAAATAGTGCACTGCCCTTGGGACCCAGCAATCACCATATGTTTTTTTGACGAGACACCTCAGGTCACTTAAGTCTTTCTCGGTGCTTCGGCGTTGTCAGCGTCCTCGTTGTCGTCTTTCTTGTTGACTTCAGTGGGTCGTCGTCTTTGGCGTCATCGTCGCCTTTAATGTCGTTTTCGTCGTCGACTGCATAGCCCAAGTTTTTCACTAACTGTCCCGGATGTCTCGGACACGTGGCGACTTTAGGAAAACAGGAGACTCGTCGTCTTTGCAGTTGTCTTCCTCTTAATTTGCTCGTCTTCGGCGGTGTCGGCGCGTCGTGGGACAGCGTAAGTCACTCGTTCACTAACCTTTCTTGGTAAGTCATTAATTAACATTGGTACCTTGCGAGTCACTAAGATGTCTTTTCTGTTGGGGAAACACGCGATGTCTTGGTCCTTTGATACATCCTAAGTCACACAAGGTATGACACACATGGTTTATAAAAAGTCGCCCTCTAGGTTCTTGAAGTCGCCTTCTGGTTTCTTAAAGCTGCCTTGTGTTTTCCGAAAGTCACCGTGTGTCCGAGTCGTCAGGGACAGCTGGTAAAAGAACAGTCAAGCGTGCCGTCATCAGCCACCCGATCGATATTTACTGATAAAGAGGGTGGCTGCCCGATCGATATTTACTAAGGATAAAGAACAGCCACACGAACAGACCAAGCACATTTGGCCGCCATTTTTTACTTAGGATGAAAAAGGTAGCTTAGGCCAAATAATACCTCTATTACCGCCTCCTACTACTTATCTTTAAGAGAGCTGGCAACCAGGGATCGTGATTTGTGGAGACGTACGACCGCCTACGTTAGTTGGCAGGGCACACGATGACGATGATCTAATGTAATTCTTTTAATAAAGCATGTTAGAGTATGATACAATATAAATTATGTGGTTTTCATACTAAAAATTAAATAGTAGACTTCCGTTGTAAAAATATTTAAAAGGTGTATATGTTTTAAAGTTTTCTGAGGTTAGCCGGTGAAATTTAAAATGGTAAGAACCCCAAGACTATATAGTTTCGGGCCTCATCAAGTTGACATCCTGTCCTGTTCCGTGTGTTTAAATGTCTGCTGTCTCTGTCTATTGACTGCTTGATCACCTATAAGTGTTGAAAACTGAAAATGTCACAAACTTTGATACTTCTCTAAAATGAAAGCATTGGAGAATGTTTCACGGAGGATTAGGGGAGGATGACCATAGCAATACAAAGACTGTGCAGCATTCAAAGTCTATGGTTGAGCACTAGCAATTAAATCAAAGTAGAAATTTTGAGAGCATGCATCTTTCCTGTAGAAACATATAGATGTGAGTCGTGGACTATCTCCTAGTCCTTCGGAAAGAAATCAGTGGCTTTTGAGCTGAACTGCTATAGAACAATTTCCAGAATTCCATGAGCACATAAGAGTAAAAATACTGCAATCCTAAAAGATCTGAATCTCAAGGAAAATTGGCTGACAAACAGCATCCTGTCTCACAAGCTTAAAATAATTTGGGCCTTATCAAGCGCCACGACGGAAATATGTGACACATTGGAAATGAAAGTGCAGAAGGTGGAAGAGCTGGCGAGAGACAGCGTTTCTTTCAGGCAGACCGTGATAAAGCGACGTTCAAAGGACCTGCTACATGATGATGAATTTTTTGTTTGCTTCCCACTCTGTTGTTCGCATCTTTGATTTCAAAAGGCATTTGGTAGCATGTACAGACTTGGTTGTGTCATACCATGATGTATTGGTTATTGTGCATATCAGCAGCCTTCTGCTTCTTCTGCTTTCCAGCCCCCAGTGAAGCAAAGACCTCAAACACCTTCCGCCAAGTCGTTCTATCCTTTGCGGTTGCAAGCAGCTCATCCTATGCATCCACGTAATTCTGTCTCGTTTATTGTCAGTGTTTTCTGATATCGATATTTGTCTGTTTTAACATATAATCAAGTTTCCTTTTCCTCGTGACGTCTTCGAGTATTTTATCTCAACATAAGAAAGTAAACTGAGATATTCATTAATGTTACATTTCAAAAGAATGTGGGATTTGTCAGTACAGACTTGTACTACGCAGTAGACGTTAGTTGTCACGTAGAACTTACCTCAGACAATGGACGTTAGTTGTCACGTAAAACTTATCCAGATAGTAAACGTCATTTGTCACATACAAACTTACGCCAGACAGTAAATGTCAGCTGTCAGTACAGACTTACCATAGACAGTAAACGTCATCTGTCTCGTAAAACTTATCCCAGACAGTAGATGTCAGTTATCATTTACACATGTACCGCAGACAGTAGATGTCAGTTGTCACATATTAAGACTCACCCCAGACCGTAAACGTCATCTGTCACGTAAAACTTACCCCAGACAGTAGACCGAGCTGAACATCCCAGAGACAATCCCATGGGTGTCCAGGTTGTTCTCAAAGCCCAGATTCCTGTCACAGAAAACATTAAACATATATTTGTGACAGCTGGTCAAATCTTATCCAGGGCTTATGTTTAATCCATAGAGCAGAAAAGCAGGCTTTTCCGGGTTTCAGTTTATCTCTCTGTCAGTGTTCTCAGGCTACACAGTCAGCTGCTAACCCAGCTTCTTCTCCTCTCACTGTTGTATCAGCGGTCTCCTTATTACACATTTTTTGGTGGGGATAAAAAGCTAAAGTGTGAAAAAAAAATTTTGCAATAAGAATAATTTTTTTTTTAAGTGTAACAAAATATTTTGAACAATTTAAACTGTATACATATATACCTTACAAATTTTCTCGAGGCTAGGATTCAACCTCGCACCGCCCCCCCCCCCTTCACTCATTTTCACCTTTAAAAAAAAAAAGAAAATGAATTGCTCAAAGTGAAAGAGCATCTAAGTTCTGGCTTCCTTAAAGTTTGCCTGAATGGACAAAGAACAAGTGAAGGAAACAAAACACAACACAAGGAACAGAACTGTAATAACTTACTTTGCCCCAATAAACAAACAGTTCCTTGTCGGAATCAGCCCACAATTGTTGAAGGATCCAAGAACTGCCAAACCAACGGCGATAACTCCGATGTTACTGTCAATTCAAGTCAGATATATATATATATATATATATATATATATATATATATATATATATATATATATATATATATCTGTATATATATATATGTATATATATCGTGCATGTGTGTGTGTGTCCATGTGTGTGTGTGCATGTGTGTGTGTGCGCATATGAGTGCGTACGTATGTGTGTGGGTGTGTATATATATATATATCGTGCGTGTGTGTGTCCGTGGGTGTGTATATATATATATATATATATCGTGCGTGTGTGTGTCTGTGTGTGTGTGCATGTGTGTGTCTGCGCATATGAGTGCGTACGTGTGTGTGTGGGTGTTTGTATATATATATATATATATATATATATATATATATATATATATATATATATATATATATATATATATATATATATATATGAAAGAGACACTAGAAATTACCGGTAACATTTCAGATTCACATCTTGTAATAAACAGAAAATTATTAAGAACATACAACAAAGAAATGCCTGTAAAAACGTAATGAAAGAGAACGGTGTCCTTGTGTGTGTGTGTACAGGTTATTTTGCTTGGGGGTCGATAAAGCCCCACCCCGACTGTAATCGAGGGCCCTCATTTAACCTACCAGGTGAACGGGGTTTCTGGGACTTGTGACTGGAGGATTCCCATCCAAATGTTGGCGCTTTGTATCACCAGGTGTTGATCCATCATTGTGCGGTCCTGGGGGGTTGAAGGTCACTCGTCAATCGAGAACGGTGATGAAGAGTTCAGTTTCCCGAAGAAAAAGGCAAAAACAGACCACCGCGAAGGTAGATATCGGCCGTTAACAATTCAGCAGATATGAAAACACAAGGGTCTGGAGAATTGGCTAGAGAAGGAGAGTTTTCTTAGATGTGCCGTGGAGAGAGCGACGTTCTGTAAACGACCTGATGTATGCCCAGTCATCACTGAATTCAACGGTGCATTACTTTATGTCGAATTATTTATAAACATTAAAGAGTTAATGTAACAGCTCTTCAGGGGCGCCGACGCAAAGTTAAAGGGAGGGCCTCGTCTCGCTAACTCCTTTTCTATACATGGGGGGTAGGAAGGGGTCTGAGCTTTGTTTCAGTGCATAATAATCAAAATAATAATAATAATAATAATAATAATAATAAATGTACTTAATGGCAAATAAATATAAAAACATACGGAATAAAACCTGCTACGCTGACAATTTCCATATATGAGAGGGAGAGGGGAACTAAGATTCTAACAAATTTAGGGTGGGGTCACAATATGCCCAAGTGCCTAGGTTGTGACGCCACTGCAGCTGGTCTATGACTGGTACCGTTAATACTCACACGGACAAGAAAGGCAGGATAGGACTTGGTCCTATGAAGAGAACGCCAACTCCAGCCAAGAAGTTGCCCAGGACAATCAGCGGCGCATTCAGGTTCTGGGGACAATGGGAAATATGTTTATCAACAAGTCAGTTCTCAGGTGCGATGCGTTGTGTTGCTGGACCGGCAGTAACCCCTGTAACCTAGGGAAGGGGGAGGGTTTAGACACGTTGAGACCAATCCCCTCGCAATGACAACATTATATAAGGAAGAAAGGTACTCCCTTCCCAACAACCAGTGCTGGATTTAGGCATCAACTAAATAAGCTATAACTTAGGACCTCAAGATTTGATGGGGCTCCAAAAATCCATTTCTTTTGTAACGCAACATATCTTTTGACAACATAATCAATGATAAACCATTGGGAAATCAAAGGGAAAACACTTTTAATTTTAAACCAGAACCGTTTAGAGGATCACATAATATAAATTATTTGATTTTGCAAACATAATCCTAATTATTTCTTTTAATAAACATTAAACGGCAGAATATTCTCATTTGCCATGATTTGAAAGGCGTTTATATTTTAAATTTTTCTGAGATTAGTTAGTGTAAAACGGTAGGGGCCTCAGGATTTTGTGTAGTTTAGGGCCTCGTCAAGTATAAATTTAGCCCTGCTAGCAACTTATGGATATAAACTTTCTTTTAGCATTTTCGTTTCTACATTTCACATACAGGCTATTCAATATTTGACACAGAAAGGGGAGATGGGCGCGGGGAAGGGGTGGGGGGGGGGGGTGGGGGGACCTCGCTGCTGAAAGGAATATAATTTTGATAGAATTTTGACATCAAAATTCTGTGTAATTTAATAAGTGAAAATCCTCAAAGTGCACACAAGAATAAATCAGGGTTCAAACAATCAATTGACAGTTCTTTGGGAGTATGTCATCAATAGTATTTAGGTGTAGTACTTCTCCGTCAACTAATAAAAACCCGCTATGAGATAAATATGAGTTTTTAGTTTTGAATAGTACATTATTATATATATTTACCAGTCGGCACGTTATTATTATTATTATGCACTTAAGCAAGGCTAGATGTCCATTCAGGGCCCTCTCAATGTCCACTGTAACTATTCTTCAGCTTAGAACAGACTCAGTGTCCACTGTAACAAATCCTCTACTTACATGAGACAATATCCACTGTAACAGTTACTCTCCTTAGAACAGACTCAGTGTCCACTGTAACAAATCTTCTACTTACATGAGACAATATCCACTGTAACAGTTACTCTCCTTAGAACAGACTCAGTGTCCACTGTAACAAATCCTCTACTTACATGAGACAATGTCCACTGTAACAGTTACTCTCCTTAGAACAGACTCAGTGTCCACTGTAACAAATCTTCTACTTACATGAGACAATGTCCACTGTAACAGTTACTCTCCTTAGAACAGACTCAGTGTCCACTGTAACAAATCTTCTACTTACATGAGACAATATCCACTGTAACAGTTACTCTCCTTAGAACAGACTCAGTGTCCACTGTAACAAATCCTCTACTTACATGAGACAATGTCCACTGTAACAGTTACTCTCCTTAGAACAGACTCAGTGTCCACTGTAACAAATCCTCTACTTACATGAGACAATGTCCACTGTAACAGTTACTCTCCTTAGAACAGACTCAGTGTCCACTGTAACAAATCTTCTACTTACATGAGACAATATCCACTGTAACAGTTACTCTCCTTAGAACAGACTCAGTGTCCACTGTAACAAATCTTCTACTTACATGAGACAATATCCACTGTAACAGTTACTCTCCTTAGAACAGACTCAGTGTCCACTGTAACAAATCCTCTACTTACATGAGACAATGTCCACTGTAACAGTTACTCTCCTTAGAACAGACTCAGTGTCCACTGTAACAAATCCTCTACTTACAAGAGACAATATCCACTGTAACAGTTACTCTCCTTAGAACAGACTCAGTGTCCACTGTAACAAATCCTCTACTTACATGAGACAATGTCCACTGTAACAGTTACTCTCCTTAGAACAGACTCAGTGTCCACTGTAACAAATCCTCTACTTACAAGAGACAATATCCACTGTAACAGTTACTCTCCTTAGAACAGACTCAGTGTCCACTGTAACAAATCCTCTACTTACATGAGACAATATCCACTGTAACAGTTACTCTCCTTAGAACAGACTCAGTGTCCACTGTAACAAATCCTCTACTTACAAGAGACAATATCCACTTAGAACAGACTAAGTGTCCACTGTAACTGTTACTCTCTTTAGAACAGCCTTAGTGTCACATATCGCTCCTGTCGCGTGCCTGATTTAAGGATTTCTCCTTAAGAACCAACAGCACTCTGAAATAATTATGTTGAGTCGTTGGCTCGTATTGGTCTAAGGGATCGCCAGTGGCCAATATACGCTCAACTTATTTCAGGAGTAGGGAAACTCAAGCTTTGGCACTACAAAATATATAATATTCCTATGCACACTTGGCTGGACACCCCCACTACTATAAAAAGGTAGCCCCTAGGTTATGATAGTAAACTATCATAGCCATGTTAACACATATGACACTTATTACTCACACAAACATCAAAGCTAGACAGTTAGAATGGTGAAATAGGGACACCCAAGTCAGCCATGAAAATTTGTGCATGTAATTAGTACAATATATACATATAATAATGAATAGATCAACAAGAGTTCAGTGAATGGAGCTCAGGAAACATTGACACAACCTAGATATTGAAGCAGCCAGATTTAGCCTTAAGGTGCAAATGAGTTCATCATCGGACTTATAAGGTGCTTTTGGAGAAGAGCATGTAATGTGAATAAAATATCACTTAGCCCAGTTCGTAGGTCAATGCTCCCCTCAGTCCATGGTGATTCGACTGTAGTTGACTCAATCAGTAGTTGGGCATCGACTTGATCTGGTACAAGCTGACTGTCACAAACGAGGACACGAGAACTGCATAGAAGACTACCAGAGCTCTTTGGAGACTGTGATGCCCTCTGCCGGTCTCACATGTAATGACACAATAAATGCATAAGAGCCCAAGAAAGCTCTTGAAGACTGGTTCTCTGGATTGATGACATAGGTTTCTGCAATTGTCCACTGGTCCTGGAACTCACAAAAAGCTCTTGCCATGTTGAGGTAGTGGCACAGTATACAGGACTTTTGGATCTGCTTGGTGCACAGAATGGTATGGGTTGGTGGTTGTTGGCTGGACTGTGATTCGCCTGCCTGATCTCTAAGGAGTTATCATCCTGTCAGGAAAGAACTCAGAATTAGTAATCAGCCTTATTCACACACCAGCTCATCCCACCTCTACCACCTTTCTCCAGTCCTCAGAGTGTAACTCTCAAGAACAGGAGACAATGTCTCCTTTTATTTATCTGTCTGTAAAATAGTGCAACAGATAGAAAACAAGGTATATAGTGGAGATAGACACTACCACACATAGATATTCCTTTCTCCACCCTCACCTCTGCACTCGCATACATACACTGTTTACAGTTAGTACCTATATATATATTCCGTCTCCACAGGCCGTTTACTACACACCCAATGAATCTGTGTCAAACACACTATTGACTCAGAGCGCCTAGCCCTGACGGCCGGTTTAAGATTACCTAGATTCCTTATTTCTGTTATGCGGCACAAAACTTTGTTTGACTGGTTAGAGGATAATTACCTGTAGGGTTTAATATCTTTAAAAATGGTGTGGGTTGTGTAAAGCACCAACTAATTTGTCTGTACAGGGGAAAGTCTAATGTTCGGAGCCTGATTTCTGGACATCAAGAACGGTCGAACTCTGTGCGATCACCCAGCTGACTCTGCCCTCTCTGCAGCAGTGGCCAACTTTAAAAAAACATATATTATTCATGTAGGTTGGCTGCTCATCTCACGACAGTACCCCCCCCCCCAAAAGAAGAGCGTACTACGCGAATGAACAGTGATTAGCCAACCTACACATCCATGGACTCACCACTCTCAGCCTGCTCACCACCTTCAGTCTGTGAATCATCAGATAAGGGGTGACAGCTCAAGACATATGCTCTTAAACAAAGGGTTTACCAAACCAACCTCTCAGAGACAGATGAAATATATACAATAATGACAATTCATGTGAATATAGAGGAACCTCTGACCACTTTACACCACTAAATCAAAAAGGAATCTCATAAAGAATCAGTAGATGTCCCTGTTGACTTAAGATTCTGATCATTCCATCCATGTATCACTGATCCCTGCCAGGTACATGCAAAGATGTAGGTTCAGACCGAACCCCCTGATCGGGTTGGCTGAATAAACCCACAAACCATCCTGGTACTCCTGTCATCTTCAGGTAATATACCGGTGTGTCTCCTACATCGGAGTGCTGTTGGTTCTTAAGGAGAAATCCTTAAATCAGGCACGCGACAGGAGAGATATGTGACAGAACAACATATCCTCAAAAATCTGTGGTCTCGTCGTGGGATTGTTTGTATACTCTGTTCAATCTTTAAAGTTGCTGGTGATCTTGGCCAGGAGGTTGTTCGGTGTTTGTATTTTGTTGTTAACACAGTTGTAACCACTCTGGGTCAGTTCTTAGAATGTGCTCTTGTGAGTGATTTGTGACCCAGTTTGTGGTGTTTTGTGGTGTTTCCAGTATATTGGGTTAGGTACAGCCTTGGTGGGTGGTGGTAAATTAATCTACTTTTGATTAAATTTAAATTGTTGGTGACAATATATTTTGTTTGTGGACTGTTAGATTGAAAAGACAGCATGTCGCAGTCAAAAATTTCTGTACAGGAATTGAAGGACATGGCTGTCCAGATGGGATGGAGGGAAAAGAAATGACCGAGTGGATCAAAACCACGGTACGTGAGATGAGGATGGAAGCCCGTGAGGCAGAGCGACTCAAGATTGAATCCGAGAGGATGCAGAAAACCGAACGACTCCGGATAGAATCTGAGAGGATGCAATAAACCGAACGACACAGAATGGAATCTAAGAGACTCCGACTTGAGTCTGAGAGGGAGGCAGAAAGAATGAGATTGGAAGAGGAGGTGAGATTAAGAGGTTGGAACTTGAGATTAAGAG